ATAATAATTTACATATCAAGACAACATTAATTCTTAATATCCTATCTTTTGAGTCACAATTGTAATTATTGTCCTTGCATCTACCAGTCAATGAACATCAAAGTACACTTACTAATTATGATCAACAAAGAATAATTTTTAAGCATAGCTAAAAAAATCCTCTCTTTTAGTCAATGCTATATCAAGAGATCAGATAAAAATTACTACAATCAAAAATTAAATCAATATTTATTTAATGATAAAAATTAGATTAAAAATTAAAAATATTATTTATAATTTAAATTTAAATAATATTTATTTAACGGTAAAAATTTTATTAATACCTTTCATAAAAATATCTATCTAAAAAAATAAAAATTTATTAAATTTTATACATTTGATCTATTAATAAAACTTTTTAATTTATCGTTTTTTATTTTTTATTTTAATTTATAAACTTTACAAATTTTACTTAAAGAATTTGATTTTAGTCTTTTCGTTATATTTAGAACATGAATTAATCTTAGTACTTATCCATATTTGATTTTTTTTTTTAATATTTTATCACATTTTGGTTCAAGGATATACAAAATTAGGAAGCTGAATTCTTGACCATGAGTCCTTGATTTTTATTGGAGGAATAATAATAACTACAAGTGCCTAACATTCTTTTATTAGGCTGTTTGTTTTGGTCTATATAGCTTGCTTAATTTGCATACCCAAATATATTAATTTTTTATATAAAATATTGTAAAATAAAAATAAAAATATTATAAATAATAAATTTTAAATTTTATATCTATTGAATGATATTTTTTTAAAAAAAATTATAAATTAATTAAATTAAATTTTATATTTTTAAATATAATAATTTACATGCCCCTATTTAAGTCAACCTTAATTCTTAATATCTTATCTTTTGAGTCACCTTTGTAATTATTGTCCTTGAATCTACCAGCCAGTGAACAACAAAGTACACTTAATAATTATGATAAACAAAGAATAATTTTTAAGTATAGCTAAGAAAATAATCAATTTTAGTCAATGTTATATTAAGAGACTAGATGAAGAGCTCAAGTTAAACTCTTATTTAACATGATGAAAATTACAAAAATGCACTTTAATTAAATATTATTTTTGAAAAAATAATTATATAAATTAATTATATTAAATCTGTTAAAAAAATTTTAAAGTTCATTCTTTCATTTAATGGTGATAATGATTCGATTTAGATTGGATTTGATTCAATTTTTTTATATTATATAATGTTATAAAAATTTAAAATTCAATCTGAATTTAAATCAAATTTTTATTTGTTCAAATCGAATTAAATTGAATTTTATTGGTTTAGTTCGGTTAAATTTACTAGTTTTTAATTTTTATATATTATTTTAATATAAAATTTTAATATATTTAAATAAATTTTGATATAAAATTATTATTTTTATTTTATAAAAATTTAAAATATATATAAAAAATTAAAAATATATATATAATTCAATTCAGTTAGATTTTTTATCTTTTGATTTAAAATTTGATTCAAACTTAATATATATATTTAATATCTAAATTTGATTCAAACCAAATAAAAAAATCGATCCAAACTAAACTAAATATTAAAATTTCAAATCGATAAAAAAAATTTTTACCCTTGCTTCCATGTGATGAATGGATGAAGGTCCAAACATATTTCATATGAGAAGAGACGCTATATATGTTGGCCCATGAAGCTAATGTTCATATGGCAAGCCTACTATTGAACAAAAGAGAGTCATGGCCCAAGCCCTTGTCAATTTCTAGTTAACCTCAGATTATAGAAGGTCCAGGTGGCTTAGCACCTGAGTGGCTAAGACCTAATCCTATTGTCCCCCTCACATTGTGGATGAAAAAATCAAAACACTAAAAATTAATTTTAAATTATAGTGTTTGATTTAGTTTAAATTAATTTTTTTATCAAATTTGGATATTAATTTTACATGTTAAATTAGGTCAGATTTTAGATCAAAATTTAAAAAATAGAATCATTAAATTAAATTATATATTTTTATTAATTTTTTACATATTTTAAATTTTTATAAAATAAAATAAATTATTTTATATATAAATCTATTTAAATATATTAAATAATATATAAAAAAAATAAAAAATTTAAATTTAAAATCAATAAAACTAATCGAATCTATAAAATTCAATTTAAATAAAACTGATTTAAAAAAAATTAATTTAAACTCGAATCAATTTTTAAAAATTTATAATACTATATATTGTAAAAAAAATCAAATTAAATATGATCCAATTCTATATGACTTTCTCTTTCTCTATCACTTTTTTTTTTTTTGGAGGTGCAACAAAATTTTTTTATTACATCAAAAAGATAAAGTCTTAGTACAAATAAAAAAAATGAGAGACTTAGATCAAAATCAAATCCTTGATGCTTCCTCAAATATCTCTAACCATTAGACTAAAGGTTTAGGGACGAAGTGCAATAATTAGTTAATGAGTTATTAGTTAACAATTAATTACTAAAATTATTAAATATAAGCACATAAATGTCGACCATATAATGTAAATAATAAAATTTAACTGTTGAGATATCCAATTTACGACTCATTATACCTTAATTTTATTTATAATATGATTAGAAATATACTTATTTATATTTAAATTTAGTTCTTTTTCTTTAAAATAATTTTAAAGATATTACTTTTTATCTTCTTGATGCATTCAATATTTTATTTATTTTATACTTCCATCGTCACTTTATGCTAATTATTTATAAACTATATTAAAATATTATATTTAAAAAAAGGAGTATAGAGTAAAAAATAAAATTTTCACTTTTCTTTATAAAAAATTTTTCCCCCCTCCTCATAATATCTTATACCATAATGTGTTTCGATTTTCATTTATTAAATTTTAATAAAAATTTTAATTAAAAATCTAAAATATTAATTTGATAGAGTTTAATGAAAATATCAATAATATATAAAAGGTTTTTAAAATTATCATTTATTATTAAATTTAATTGATATTTATTTAACGGTAAAAATAAATATTTTTACTAAAAATATTTATCTAAAAAATATAATAAAATTTATTAATATTTTTTCAAATTTTGTATATTTGATCCATCTAATAAAATTTTTCAATTTATCATTTTAATTTTTATTTGACTAATTTGAATAAAAATTTTGTGAATTTGATCCAACAAAATTAATATAAATCTTTTATTCATTCACAAGCTGACCCATGTTCATTTACATTAGTTAAAGCAAGTTTAAAACTTTTTTTTTTTTTGGTTAGAAAGTTTAGGAGCAAGAAAGATTAATCTATCTTCAAAATCAGAGTAAATCTTCTACCTATAATAAAATTTATGGATTTATAGATTTTTTATGAAATTTTTTAGACTTACATATTATCTACAAACAAGTGATCGTGAAAGTCAAATTTAAGTGCTTTTCCTCTATACCCTAAACTTTAATCATTTATAACAATATCTATTAACAAAGTAAGTTTAAAACTCACCAAAAAAACAAAAGAGCACTTGGTCTATTGGTACGAATTTTGTATAAATTTGATAATTTTAAATACGATAAAATAAAATAATATAAAAATTAGAAAAATAAAAAATATTAAAATAATGTAATTTAAAATTTTGATAAAAATTATAAATATATTTAATAAAATAAAAAATATATTTTATATTTTATGTCAATATCATTATAATATATCATTTTTATATAAAAATATAATATAAATATATAAATTGTTAATATTTTACATAAAATATATATATATATATATATATTATCATGTCTATTGAAAGCTATCAATGCTATTAACCCCTTCCAATTTTGTAGCCAAATTTTTTATGTCATTGATGTAAGCATGGCCTAGTAATCAGCAACAGCGACGGAACTGACTCCCCCATAGCTGCCGAACTTCGTGCTATAAAAAATTAATAAGAAGGTGGATAGGATTCAAAAGATCTTTAAGAACCCATTTTGAAGGTTTGTCCAAGTGCCAAAAAGTGTAGACAAAAGCCAAAAAGGGCCTCAAAAAATGGACCCAACTCGTCGCTTTCTTGTGCCAGTCGTTGCTGATATTGTCTACTCGAACCTGCCCTAATTGCCGACCTTTTTCATTAACCTAATTGAAGAAGATCAAAGAGAGAGACATGAGAAATATTGGCCCTTGGGGCTGGTTTTCAAGCTCACGGAAGAGTGTGAGTTGACAATGACAGTTATACAATGACAGTTATACATCAACTATTGTTAATCTTATCTTTCTCCATTGATTGTATTTTTTCAGTTGATTAAGAAATACTCGTGACATATCTTTATATGATATTCATCCTTATGGCTAGAAGTGAAAAAAATAAAAATAAAAAATCGATTTAAAATTTTAATATTTACTTTGATTCAAATTAATTTTTTTATTTAATTTAAATTAAAATATGAAAAATTAAAAAAAATCAAATCAAATTATATATTTTTATTAATTTTTATATATTTTTTAAATTTTTATAAATAAAAATAATTATTTTATATATAAATATATTTAAATATATTAAAAAATTTATTAAAATAAATAATAAATTAAATTTTAAAAATAATAAATTAAATTAAATTGAATCAATAAAATTAAATTTAAATCAAATTAAATTTAAAAAAATCATTTTTTTTCGAATCAAAATTTTAAAATTTATAATATTATTTATTATTAAAAAAAATAAATCCAATTCAATCTAATCTTACTCGCCAGCAAATAAATAAGTCACCAATCAAATCAAAATTCCATTTTCAACCATCTTGGCAAATGCCAATTGCTATGTTCCCAATCCCATCTACAGTGAAACGAAATCCAGATAACAACACTTATCTATTCATTTACCCAATCATCTTCCCCCACGTGTCAATAAAGCACCAACCCATCAGCCAATCAACCACACCCAAGCCCCTTCCCCCCATATAGTCCAGGCTTTCCTTTCCCTTCCCCTATCACTTTTCCTTCTACTTTTCTTCCCAAATCAAACACAACAATGTGTAACAAGAACATTACATGTAGAAGAAGAAGAAAATCGAAGTCCAGTAGTTTTTCTCTGAAACCATCTCGTAAAACCAGAACAAAAACAAGAAAACCAAAGTACCTTAGCCTTCTTCACCTTGAAGAAAGCCTACCTCAAATGTCCCTGATCAACAACAGCAGCAACAGCCAAATCAAAGAACAAGAACAGCTTAACTTGTTTCCGCTTCACCCTGGAAACTCAGATGAAGACAGAGATACCCAGTACGATAATGTTTCTTTACTTTTCAACACGACAGAGAAAGACAACTTCCATGCTGTTACTCTTCATGGTCTTTTAGACGAAAAAAGCAGTGATAATTATAAGAATGAAACAACAACGACAACGGTAACGTCTGACGAGAGTCCTTTGTCGTCGCCTTCTTTGACGTACGGGTATAGTTGTGAAGATCATGCAAGGCTGTCGCTTGTACGGTCGGCTATGAAAGGGAGGAAGGAGAGAGATGAGAGTGAAGAGAAGTGGGTGGTTTATTCTGAGGTTGTAGAGGAGGTGAGTAGCTGTGGCGCCGGCGGTGGTGGCGGTAGTGGCTGTGGAGACGGTGGTGCATGGTGTCGTAAGAAGAAGATGAAAAAGTTGTTGGCTTTGAAGCTTGATTATGACGAGATCATGAATGCTTGGTCTGATAAGGGCCCACTTTACATTGAAGGAGACTCCCCACAGACTGTACCTGATTTGCTTCATCCTTCTACACATGTAAGATCTTTAGCCCTTAATCAAACAGTTCAATTTTTTTCACCAATCTTTTCCGTTGTACTATTACCTGAACCATTTATTTTATTGATAAATATGTGCATGAAACAAGCACATGGGGATTTTTTTAATGCTTTGTTTTGAATGAGTGGAAATTTTTGCCCATGCTTGTTTGTTTTTGTAAGAGTGATGATAGGCACAGTGAATAATTGGGATGGGTAATAATATTATAATGGAATCTGTGGGATTTGTGGTTTTGCACTTTTTGCTTTTTGTGGGACCCATGGCTGGAGTTTTGGCCCAGCTTGGCAGCATTTTTTTTGTCTATAAAATAGACTATATACCATTTCGGTACAGACAAGATATAAGTAAAAAAATGTCTTTAACATGTCATAAAAGTTAATTTCTTTGATAGGAATTAAAACTGGGTTTTACAAGTACTTCATGAAATATGATTTTGCTTACTAATTTCATGCTTCAAACATGCTTGGATTGCTTATTAATTGCTAATAACTACCATTTCAGTTACTTTCTTAATATTGCTTCTGCATGGTTTCAGATATTTTTAGTAGTAAGAAACAACAGTTGAGAGTTTGATTTAGAATTAACAGTTCCTGCATATGTTTCATGTTAAGTACATGTAAAATACGAAAATTGCTGTATTAGAATTCATGTTGACTACATGCAAAATAAGTTTTTTGGTTTTTGTCAAACTCATATATGATTTTTATTAAAATTTTAAACTAAATCGCTCTCATGTCTATTTTCACATCATTTTCATGTCGTGTGTAATAGTACAGGTTTAATCCGAGATCTAGGGGCAGCAGCCTGTAATTGTTTTCCCAGAACAAAAAGTATTGTAAACAAATAGCAAAAGTCATAACTAAAAAATTGGCATAGCCAAAACAGGACCCTGCTTTTCCAATATTCTCATATGCATAATCAATCTGTCATGAGCTATACCATGGAAAGTGAGGTTCATTTGTAAATTCCTTGTGAAAATGTTCTCCAGGAAACGAGATGGGACTCACTTTTACCATTTGTTTAACAATTCAAGTAATCTTTTATATTGTTGCAGGTGCTAATGGATGGTGTTTCCCATTTGTGGATGGTCCCCGAAATGGTTAGTAACAATGCTAGTAGCTTCAAGATTAAGGAAGAATTTGATGGGAAAGAGGATTGGAAAAGGGGGCATAGAGAAGCGAGTGTGTTGAGATACAAGGAGAAGAGGCAAAATAGGCTCTTCTCTAAGCGTATTCGGTATGAAGTCAGAAAGCTCAATGCTGAGAAACGCCCCAGGTTGAAGGTACTATTAACCTCATATTTCTGATTATGGTTGAGTTCTCTGATTATGGTCAGTGGTTCCCCTCCCCTCCTTTCCCCCTTGGTTCAAGTTCAAACTCTCTTCATTATTTGATTTTACCATGTTGAGGCTAACAGATCTTTCCATGTCTTTTTTTTAGGGTCGATTTGTGAAGAGAGCTTGAGATCTGAAAACAATCCTGGAGATGATCTTGCTTCTTGGATGTTGGAACAGTTGTGGCCTTGGATTGTTCATGTTAGCCTCTCTCCTTTTAGCTTCCACGTGTGCATTTTATGTAGAATGGACATTATGCTATTCTTTGGAACACAAATGAAAATTAAAAAAAAAGAAGAAGACATAATCCAAGGAATGAGAGTTTGCATAACTCTTTGGAATACAAAAAAGAGGGAGGAAAAATAAAAAGTGAAGCAGTTGTAGGAAGCTTTACTGAAGTGTTAAGGAATGTTGTTTTTCTCTATAGGGGAGACTTAAACCTTTGAAATTTGGGTTTTCAACTAGAAAATCACAAGTTCAGATGGAATAGAGAGGAGGGCTTTTGTTTTTAAGATGAAAAAGGGTTATACTTTGTAGTCGAAAGCATAATGAGCTTTTTTTTATCTGTACAAATAAAAAGTAAAGAAAAAAAAATAAATGATGGATTTGAGTTCAAGATCAAATCACATGGTGGAGTTTATTTTACCAAATAGAAAATAGAAAATAAAAAAAAACTTCATGAAATCTGTAACTTAATTCAGTTGATTTATATAGTCATCCAAAAAAAGTAATATCTAACACATCTGATTTAAATCTTAATATTTACTAGTTGATTCAAATCTTAACATTTACAAATTGTCTGTGATTTTCTTTGTTGCGATTTTCTTTGTAAAACAAAATGACTATTTCATTCAACGGTCTAGAAAGCTACATATGATCAAGCACTTTTCATGTGTGAAATGTTCGTAATATGAATTATTAGGTTTCAAGCATTAAAGTTTTCTTAGTTCTTATCCACCTATAAAAGTTGTGATCAAGCAGTGGAGCAGCAATGCGACTTTCAGAAGGAATCTGCAAACTGATGGGCAGCCATCAACATAACATGATTTGTGAAACAATGATATTTTCTATAGGTTAGCTTATTAATATCAAGTCAAAATCATTATTAGCAGCGAAAAAGTTTCTTTTGTATATCAATTCTTAGATGTTAGTATTTGATTTTGGATCAAAGTTGCCAAATATTCTCCCGACAGGAGCTTGACTGTTCAACTCATTGGTTTGGCTCACTCATCACTTGGTTGGGCTCAAGCTGAGTTTTGCAGTCAAGCTTTGGACCATGTGCAGCAACGGTTCTAAAAGGATGGAGAAAAGGAAAATGGTCCCCCAATCGAATTGTGCAGCAACAAGTCATTTCAGTCAGCGTCATTTGTTGGCTCAAAAGAAACTGATTACGTAAGGCCCGGCAGCAGGCAAGTATGCCATTGTGAAATTTGTTTTACCATCGATAAAATGTTGGACTCCTACAGTTTTAGTGACGGAAATTCAATTTTTGACAATCTCAAATACGAAAAAAATTTGTTTCTTGCTGGCTGTGGACGAAGTGTTAGAGCCATTTTCATCATCAAAGATGGAGGGCCATATGAGAACGTGCTTTTCACGGTGGCAAACATGTTTTAAGCTATGAATGGCAGTGTTGAATTAATGAAATTATCTGTATAGATTGACTTGTTTCTCAGATCTTTCTTTTGTCTACTGTTTGATTTACTATCTTTTTCCCATGTTAGGGGGTACTCAGCAATGGGAATGGGACCTATTTTGTTTGGCATTATTTTCTTCAACATAGCTATCATCCATTGTGCTTTATATTGGGTTGAAACTATTTATAGTGCTATATCCCCCCTCCCCAACATTAGCAGCCATGAAAAAGGGGTCATATGGCTGCTAAGGGTAAGGGTCATAGCTAGTAGGAAATCAATTTCAAGTGTAAGAAAGTAATGAAAAGAGGTTATCAGGTCAATTTTTTAATAATCTAATCCTTTTTTCTTCATTTTTCTGGTTTTGGTAGGCACGGGAGGAGAAAATGGAACTTTTGAGAGTACTAAAGATTGAAAAATTGTAGTAATAGACTCTGCCTGTGTTGGAGACTTGCATGTTTTATTTAAGTTTTGACTGATGTGTTAACTCATTTAGCAAGTGGTGCACTAGCCTCCCTACTGATTGGAACTTGTATCAGTTCATCCAAGAGTAAGGATTGCTACAGATTTTGGGTTTGAAAAACATGCCTTGTAGAAACAATAGGAAAAAAGATGATGCTTGTGCAAGCTGTTCATTTGTCATCCATTTGAGATCAGTGCGGATGGTCAAGTCCTCAACCACCCTTCTGGCACAGAAATTAGTCACAATCACAAGTTAATTAATAATGATCATCTGAACAATTCCATACTTTCAAATGCATTGACTTACCATTTTTTTTGCATTTTTGAAAACTGAAAAAAAAAAAAAAACTATTTTTTATTGTTATGGAATCACAAAGAATTAGATGGAGCTGTTTATGTTAAAGAGTCAGACAGTCTTAGCCAACAGATTCCATCCTGACAACTACTATCTGATCAGAATCGTAACCCTAAGACAAGAAGGAAGATATAGATTCCAGAAAAGTATCAAGGAATGGAAGCCTTGCATGCAAATTCTTATGCTTACCTGAAACATTCACAAAAAGGTAGTTTAAAGCAGGAAAATATGCAAGATAATTACCATACCTCAGCTTGGATGAAGTTGGAATGACAGAAGGAAAGATATATCAATAAAGTGAAGCAGTGGCAGAAAATTGAGTTGACAGAAGAGTAGAAAGCACAAGACTGCTCATACACAGGCCTTTTCTGGGTATGTTCAGCTGTGCTCTCTATCTTCTGTCAACTAAATGCATCATCAATCATGGCCTGTCATTGGAACTTTCTTCACCTTTGTACCAAGGAGGAACATCCCTTTTGAAAAGACAGAAAAAAAAAGTTACATATATTTACATAAGATTTAGAACTAGATTGTTTATGTTTTAGTGTAAGAGAAATTTCATAGCTGAAAAATGAAATAGAAGAGGGAACAGGGAATTCTCTTCATGTTTGACAATGGAAGAAGATGGATGAGAAAAGTTGGTTGAAAGGATGGGATGAGAGAAATTAAAGGGAATAGTCTTGTGAAACCAAGTTGTGACTTGATAACCTTTTGTTTATCAACATCACATTGATTAAGCAATATCAAGTGATTATCTTCTTATCTTTCATTTTCTTGGTAGATGACTTTCAGTTGGAAATTAAACTAGGATATTCAAGTGAGTTTGTCAATTATATAGATTTGTCGATCCTGACAGTGTATTCTGATAATAATATCAATATTGACATTAGTTCTTTAGCAGAACTTCATAAACAAGTTGTAGTTGATTCATTGAAATAGAAAAAAGTTAAAAAGTGAATTTTTTTTACCCAAACTGTTGAAAGAAAAATGAAATAATTTTATCTTGTAGGTGAATCTCATTAACCATTGCTATTGAAGGCTTGAACTAGTACATTCAACTACCTACCCCTTCAGTTCTCATTAAATTTTCATGGGAAAACAGCTTTTACCTTTTATTTTATAAGACCAGATGAACAATCTTGATGTTTCAGCTTCAGTGATAGGAAATCCGTTGGAATTCCGCCGTTAAAGAGTGCTTTTCTTGACAGAAAATTTTCATCACGGAAGGGTTGTCTTCTTGTAGTGACAAGACCAAGAACTCAAAAACAGATCATTCAATGGAACATAATTGAAGCATCATTTTGCAAGAAGTACTATAGCTAAGAAAGGAGTGTTGGCATCCTACCTTATCTAAATCAGGTTGATCAGTCTCTTGCACTTCAGAGTAATAAGAAGGTGGGGGCCTGGCTATTAGTCCCTATTAAGTGCCTGTCTATTCTAATATTCATACTCAATATGAAAGCTCAGATCTCCAATAGGAAACCATAGCAGTATTATCTTTCTCCCTCATGGAAAATACATGAAGAAGAAATAATTGCAGGGCTGCTGCAGATAAAGTTTCTATAGCTGGTGCCTGGTGGGAATTGAAGTCAAGGATGGTTAGATAACAATATTGTGTTCATTTTTATCCAAGTTAAAAACAAAAAACAAAAAATCAACAGTGTAAAAGAGATTTTGACTTGAAATATGTGACAATAGATGGCAACTGGATCATGTAATATATATGTTAAGTAATCAAATGCGAATTAAAATACTAAGAGGGTCCAATAATAAAAACCAAAACCCAGTGTTGTGGAAGCCAAATGAACTGTAAGTCATGTCACCTGCACATAAAAAAATTAAGGTTTGAACAGTAAAAACAATTGTTTTTCAAACTGATCATGCATGAGCTCAAGTCTAAACAAATAGTAGAGATCAAAGAGAGGAGGACAAACAGGGAAAAAGATAATAGCTATTCACCTGTCATTCATCAGTTTCCATGGGATGGTCAAGTCCTGATCCAAACTCCAACCTAACAATTTAGTCAACAATCATAGTTAAATAATGATCAACTAATCAAAATTCCTTAACCATCAAATTAATGCATTGACTTCCAATTTTTCTTTTATTTTGAACAAAACTCTTCTGCAGGGAAACTCTGCTAACTTTTATCAATTATCATTGGAAAGCCTAGAAAGAACAGAATTTGAGAACTATAACTCTTCTACAACAATGAAGATGGTGCATGAAATAGATTCCAATAGTTAAGTTGAATAACAACAACTATCAAATTTGTAGCATTAATGGCATATATAGTCTTCTTTCAGAGAACAGAAAGTAAATGGTCTTTTTTTAAATATATATATATATATATATATATTGTGTTGAACTTTTGTTTTCTCCCTCCCCATTCTTAGGTTTCATGATTGATTTTTTTCCTTATCTTTTCATCACCTAGCTAGGTTGATAAGATATAGTATAAGCACTGGATCAAACCTGGTAAAAGAAGAAAATTAAAATTCCCATTCATCCTTAGCAGCAAAAGCTGTAGGGTGACATACTTAGCCAAAGCATGGCCGTTCAGAATAAACATAACAATTTCAAATATGATATGGTAATATGATATGAAAATAATACAAAAAAATACGAAAGCAACGTGGTTTAAAATTTTAGCAAAAACTGTTTATGGATTTGGCAAAAATAAAAAAATATGTTGCGTTTGACGTGTTTATGTAATTTTCATATAAAACATGTGTTTCACATAAAACAGAAATGAATAAACAAATTGTCAGTTGTAATTTAGAATAAAAACAGAGGGTTGCAATATTTTCTAAACATATAAATGGTGCAATTTCACAGATATATATAGTACAACTGAAAAGATTTTAAGGGTTATAATCTTATCTTTACCTTGGGTTGAACTTGGTATGTATACTGACAAAAGCCAACGAAATGAATCCTGAGAGAAAATTCGGTTGACAGAAGAAAAGAGAGCACAAGGCTGTTCATACACAGGCCTTTTCTGGGTATGTTCAGTTGTGCTCTCTATCTTCTGTCAACAAAAGCATCTTCATCCATAAAAATAGTCAGCTTTACATCCTTCTTCACCTTGCAGCCTGCCAGAAACAAAATCCTTTTAAAGAAAAAGAAGCCAGGTAGGAATCTAAATCCATGCATCTTTTACATATCAGAAGTTCAGAAGTAATTAGTTGATTTATTATCTTCAAGTATAGTAGTTTATCTGAATTTTCAGGCTAGAAAAAAAGAGAAATTGGAGTTTTTTTTTTTGTTTGGAAAACTCTAGTTGGTCAAGGGAAGAAGAAGGTTGGAGAGAAGATTCAGTGATGTTAAAAGAATACGGAAACTCTGATATAACTTGTCGATCCTAGCTAGACAAGTGATGATAGATAGGGAAAATCAAGTGAAACCAGTGGCTAATTTAATACTATTTATCAATTTTGTATCAACATCATAGTGATAAAGAAAATAATCCATAGTGATCTTTTGATTAGTTTTCATATTTCTATTGGTAGAGGAGTTTCTTGCGAAAAGTGCCATCCAAGGGAGTGTTGTCCAGTATGCATTCGTCCTTTTTAATTAGGATTTTACTGCTTTGATTTTTAAACTACTTGACTAGCAGCTAGCTAGACATAGGAAATTTATAATAATTGATCAAATACATAAGTAAACATGTTAGTTGAATGATGCATAAATGAAAGTTTTATTCCTGAGTAAATTTAGACCACTTAGAGTTCATTTGCATGCGTGATGGGAGAATTCTCACAGTGCTATGCATATCGTTTTATTTACAGGACCTTAAGAGATTCAATCATAAAACGTAACTATAGTGTGGTAGGAGGGTCAAATGATCAATCAAAGTTTGAGAGCTTGGATGAAGTGCGTGCACTACCCTTCTCAATTTGACATACAAATTGTGACCTTAGATCAGATGATTTAATTAGAAAAGCTATATTATAAGTAGACACTCACCTTAAGTATATTTTCCTGCAAATGAAAAGTAATATCTTGTTAACTTTGTAGCATGTTGGTTGAGGAAATCACCATTGAATACATGGTCAAATAATGTTTAGTTTCAAACCCCAAGAACCGATAACTCCCATGCTTGGTTGCTAGGGAGACAAGGTCTGAAAACCATATATATACAAGATCAAAAATGACCTCCGACATGTTATATATGCACAATGTCTGGCCGCATTCTTGCATTTAAGAGTGATACTCAATGGTTGGGGTTCCCCGGCAGGCAATTGATTTCGGATTCTGAAAGAAGTCAAGCACAGGTAAATGACAGATGCTTTTGCTAGGCTCTGATCGCTATTGAAGAAGTTGTGTCAGCATTGGTTTAGCCTAATGAAAAAATGAGCTGACTTTGATGATTAGATTGCCTACTCTAGCTATAACAGAAAGGATTATAGCAATTATAACAGTAAGTTAGATTTGTTCTTGAGAAACGCTGTCTGCACATGAGTTTGGCACAAAGCAACAAAACCAGAATGGGCCTACAGAGGATGGCAGTTTTTCAAGGCTGAAAACTGACATTGGTCAGGGCATGGGCCTCCTTTGGGTTGATAGTCCAGTTTCTTTTTTCTGGAACTTATTCTAAAATAACTATGGATGTATTTGTCTACATGTTAATGCATCCATAACTTTCTAGAGCTTGCATTTAGTTTAATTCTTTAATGATGAAAAAGGAAGAGATCCATTCCAGACACTACCATTGGCAATTCTAGGGAATGTTCAGGTCTGATTAACAGAAGATAGTAGAAAATGAAATTATTAGTTAGAAGAGAAATCAAGAAGAAGAGAAATCAAGAAAAGAAGTCCCAAGAAAATTCAGTAGACAGCTTAATCATCCTTTATATATAACCAGAGAGGCAGATCAGATACATCAATCAATATCATCATCGCATTTTCCCTAGCTATTAGATTCTTTTCATATATCCAAAAAATGGCTTTCATCTCCCAACTGTTTGGTGATGAAATTTATGACCCTTTTCTTAGTATGATTAACAAATGTCCTGTCCTTAACACTCCAGCAGATTTGAAGGAAACCCCAGAAGCCCATGTGTTTGTAGCTGATCTTCCAGGGCTGAAGAAAGAAGTAGTGAAAGTTGGGGTTGATGATGGAGAGGTGCTTCAAATAAGTGGAGAAACGAATGTGGAAAAGGATGATAAAAATGATAAGTGGCATCCTAGGCAAGTTCCATACGAGTTTTTAGGCTGCCAGAAAATGCAAAGACGGATGAAGTTAAGGCATCAATGGAGAATGGAGTGCTTGTGGTGACTGTCCCCAAACAAGAAGTGAAGAAACCAGAGAAGAAGGTAATTGAGATTGAGGAGATCAAGGGTTGAGAATATGAAATAAAACTTGTTTTCATGTTTTCTCCAGACGTGTTTATGTGTGTGTTTCTGCATTTTCATGTCATGTACTAAATGCATTTGTGCCTTGTTCTTGGAAATGCTTAATTTAAGTCCCAAATATACAGAAATCTCACAAGAAAAACTTTTGAAAACATATTAGAATTGGAATTTGAAGAACAAATTAAAGGATAATGTGACAGGATTTAATCCAATTCAATTTCACTTAATAACCAAAATTAAAGACTCAACAGAAAGAACTCAAAATACTCGGAAATGATTCATCCCAAATATGAACATGCCAAAATTTGCCTAAAACTTGAAATAAATCATAAAAACCATTTTGCATATGCATGTATAATTGTGTTGGCCACTTATAGATTATAGAATTCTAAATTTTCTCAAAGTAGCTTCCCTACATATCAGATTTGCTTCAAGCAGAAGGTATTTAATGCCAGTCATGGGACCACATGTGCTTAAGCATGCAAATGTACAACCTAGGAATGACTTTGAAATCTTTTCTTTAGTTGTTAATGGAAATGATTTTATTGCAAGCGTTATGAAATCTGCCTTCTAAGAGAGATAGGTGAATCACTCGAGTTAAATCTCAAGATCAAGTTTATGTAAGAAAAAATTATCTTATTTCAGGATCATATATAGCATACTGCATACAAATCCTCCACTAAAAACGATTGTTAGTAACCAGAATCAAGTTTAAATCTTACGAATCTTTATCAACTCAACCAACCCTCTTGACTGAGGGACCTTACTTTTGCCATCAATTGCCAGCCCTTATTCTTTAAAATTTTCACACTTTTAAGTGTTTTTTTTCCTTAATTATGACAATTATTTCAGCCTGACTGTGCACATGGATTAATATAAAATCAAGAGTAAGGAAAAATATTAGTAACATTTTACATTAAAATGAGGAATCAACATTTTTATAAACATATCAAACTATGCAAAATGATGTGAACATGCATCAGATTTCAGATTAAATTATGTAGTTCTAACACAACCAAGTGCCCTAATCTAATCAAGTGAAAAATAAAAAAAAATAAAAAAAAAAACACTTCACCATATATTTTAGCATTTTCTTTTTTGGTGGTTAGTGAGTACAATCATATTGTTTTTAACTAGTAATGTCATACACTTATGGTGTGGTAAGCAGTGCCAATCTGTTGGGTTCCTGCCAATCTATGAAGCTTCATTTCCTTGATAGCTGGATCTTCTAGCAAAAGCACTTTGTCTTTGTCTCTAACACCAACCATGTGTAAATATTCATCATCTTCCCTTTCTTTCCCTTTGAATAATAGCCTTTGCTCTCTTGGCTCCAAACTTGTTACCAATGACAAAATCAACTTCAACTCCCCTGAAGAAATAAATTTGCCACAAAATTTCAATAACAACCCAAAAAAAGAATAAAAGACTAAATTATAGAAGGCTGCATCCTAAGAATAGAGAAATTGATTATCTCAAACCTACTCGTATCATCTTTTAAGGGTGACTATATCAACCAAATTAAGCTTCAGGTTCTAATGGACATAGTTTAAACATGCTCCTATATATGATCATATGCTAAAATATGCATTTCTTAAGTCAATTTCTGATATGAAAATATATGTTTGATCACAAAATATTAGAGAAAAGAAGGCTTACCAAAAGTGGAAGTTGCTTCAATGGAAATATCATGCCAATGAGAAACAGTTGAGACTCTGACAGTGATCACCCCTTCTCCAACACTTCCACCAGTTTCTCTCTTTTGAACAAGCATGCCACCAGGCCTGAGTTCCCATTTGATTTCACTAACATTATTATTGTTTCCACATCCCTTTTCACCACCTTTTACATTACCATTGCTACCATTCCCACCACTACAAAACTTAAAGCTGCCTCTGCAAAACCTCTTAGACTTCAACTTGATCATATTTTTTTTCCTTTTCTTATTCAGCCGAGATCTTAAAAGCTCAAGAAGCTAAAAATGGGAAGAGGAAGAGTTGGGGTTTAGCTAGTTATATAATAGTAGGGAGCATGGAATAGGGCAAAAGAAGACATAAATAAAAAAACAAGCGGCCTAAGGCTGATTGAAGAGGTTGTGAAAATGAGAGACAAGTGAGATGAAGACACATGGAGTATACTATGGGCGTTTTTCTCTGCTGATTTTATGGGGGGCTAAAGCACATGGGTGGTGGGTGCTATGGAGTTACACGCTTGCTTGATTAGCGGGCCAAATTACATAATCAAAAACAGCAGTCGGTTGGCAAACATTGCTGATCAAATTGATGGAAGCGAAGGTTTTTTTATATGATTTTAGGGGACTTGTTTCGTGGGGTCAATTCTATTGAGATATATAGGCTTTGGTTTAGAACAATTGTTAAAATTTAAAGGCATTGTCTCCCACGGCCAAAATCAAGAAAAAAAAAGTAGCCATTGAAGCCTTATCTCAATTCGAATGAGATCAATTTTTATCGTGTAAGGTGATAATGAATTTAATTGAATTGAATTGAATTTAATTTTTATGAATAATATATAATATTTTAAAATTTTAAAATTTTGTCCGAATTTGAATTGATTTTTTTTTAAAATTAATTTTATTTAAGTTGAATGTTATCGGTTGGTTCGGTTTATCGATTTTTAATTTTTTTTTTGTTTTTAATATATTATTTTAATAAAAATTTTAATATATTTAAATAAATTTATATATAAAATAATTATTTTTATTTATTAGAATTTAAAATATATATAAAAATTAATAAGAATATATAATTCGATTTGATTTGATTTTTTTTTTATTTTTAATATCTTAATCAGAAATTCAATGTAAACTTAATACATACATTTAAAATCTAATCTTACTCCAAACCAAATAAAAAAAAAAAAACCGATCCTTTCATCATTTATATGCATTTAATATTTGACTTTGAAATTTTTTCTTATCATCATGCATTTCTTTTCCATGTTTTCTTTGCAGCAAAGGCTTTTCTTCATCCTTTCATCTAGGAGTAAAGCTGAAGCTCTTAGGTTAGAGAATGTAATGATTATGTTTGTTTGATCAAGTGGTTTAATAATGATTTTGGGCAACAATAAATTCAGTAATAAATTAAACCTTCCACCAGATCTACCAAGTTTATACCCTCTCTTAAAAGTTTCAACTGTACAATGTGCCAATACTTGCAAAAATTCCACTCAAAGACATAACTTACTTGTTTGACAATTTGTTTATCTAAATTAACCTCTTTTTGTGATTTAATTAGTTCCTCAATAAATATAATTAAATTTTCATGATCAACTGCTATTTAAAATAAGAATCTAAAATTTAGCATAGATGATTCATCTATCATTTCTATGAAATAAATTTTCATAAGTAGAGATAATAACAATTTGGTTTAGATTAAATTCAATTTGATTTTTTAAGATATTAGATAATATTATAAAAATTTAAAATATGATCCGAATCCGAATAAAATCTTCATTCAATTTGAATCGAACTCAATCGAACCAAATTGGTTCGATTGTTTATCAATTTTTAATTTTTGTAATTTTTATATATTATTTGAATATATATAATTTTATTTTTATATATAATTTTAATATATTTAAGTAGATTTTGATATAAAATTATTAATTTATTTTATAAAAATTATATATATAAACTGAAAAATATGTACAATTCAATTCGATTTATTTTTTTTTCTTCTTCAAATTTTCACCTCTTAATCTGAATTCCAATTCAAACTTAATATATATATATATATATTTAATATCCGAACTTGATTCAAACAAAATAAAAAAAAATTAATCCAAATCAAACCAAATATTATCATTTCAAATCGATTTTGGGATTTCTCAATTTTTTTTCCTCCCTACCCATAAAGTTGGAGTTAAATTCCCAGTACATGTAATTTAACGTAGACTATTCATCTATCATTTTTAAGAAGTAAATTCTCATAAATAGAATTAATAATGGTTCAGGTCGGATTTGATTCAATTTTTTCGGATATTGTATAATATAGTAAATATTTATCAGTTCGGTTCAGTTTATTGATTTTTAATTTTTAATTTATATATATTATTTTAATATATATAATTTTATTTTTATGTATAATTTTAATATATTTAAATAGATTTTGATTTAAAATTATTAATTTTATTTTATAAAAAATTTAAAATACATGTAAAAACTAAAAAAATATATAATTCGATTTTATTCAATTTTTTTTATTTTTTACCCCTCGGTCTAAAATTCTATCCAAATCAAACACTATAATTTCAAATCGATTTTTTTTTATTTTTTAATTTTTTTCTCACTCCTACTCGTAAGTTGGAGTTAAATTCCTAACACATGTAATTTTATTCTGTCAATTCTTTAAGTTTCGTTCTATTGAAAAATTGTCATGTGTGTAATTACTACTTAACTCTTTTTCTATTAACAAACTATGTTAAACTAAACATTGGTTGGTCAACAACTAAAGAGCTCTCATGATTCTTTTTTTCTTTGCTTTTACTCTTTTCTATTAGTGACAACAAGTAACTTTAGGCAATCATCTAAAATCCATTCATTTAACCTCTTCCAACATTGGTTTTTCAACAAGAGAGAGCTTTCATGATTACATCAATTAAAAAGAAGATTGCTAACTTGAGCAACCCTTTTGCTCCTTTTTCCATTGGTAACAAAACAACTTGATAAAAACAATTATATATATATGCAACTATTTGAGATTAGTTCAAGTGATAAATGTAGGATAAGATTTAATTGGATTTAATCTTAAATTCAAGCCATAACGCTCATTTTAATATCGAAATTTTTTTTAAAAAAATTTATAATTTGTTCATTTAAAAATTTCCTTAGACCTTGATTTTTCGACAACCCAAGAACTTCATGATCATATGACATGTTTTTGAATACTATAGCTATATCATCATTCACTTCAAACAAAAGGTGGTAACATTATCAATATGCAAATTTTTGTTCTTCATTCATCTTATCATATTCCCAAAGATAGCACAAAAATAAAAGGGTGTAGGGATCTCAAATACTTGATGGAATATATGTTACAAAAAAGAAAGGAAGCAAAGATGTTTTGTCTTGACTTTCTAACATGTTGTTTATGGTTTAGTTAGGTTAGTTGGGTGGGTCTTGTCCTGTCTTTTGAGATGTCTTTGGGGGGTTTTACTTTTTTGTATGGGTGGTTAGGTTTTTAGTTAGTTCTATGCTTCATTCAAACTAAAATTTTCAATTTCGAAATCAATTTCAATACCATATGGCACGCGAAAGGGACGAAGATTCTCTTATCTCTCAAAAGTCTCGACTCAATTAATGTTTCAATTTTTTAAGTTAATAATGAATTTTATAAGCATTAAACTTAGTTAATCTCTCATTAAATCAAGGGATGAACATCCCATTTTAAACACAAGATTCCTTAAAAACATGATAAACTTTTTCTTAGTGGATGACAAACTTAAAAATGAAACTCAAAACTTATAAAGAAATTGATTGACCAAGGTACTACAAATTGATTCTAAATAATTTTTCTTGCAAAATTGAAGAAAATAGTTGACGATGATACCCCCACATGTGTTGCAAGAGAGAGACAGAAAACATAGGTGGTTGTTAGCCATGAGGAGGAGACACAATATTCCTCATTTTGCCATGCATGAATCATATATCTTTTTCGGTTTGAATCCATGATCTCCCAAAAAATTCATTCAAACAAAAATTAATATTAATCACCTCCTCCCAATACATAGAAAAGAAAATTTTATCGGAAGAAGATCAAATCAAAATGTGCTAAAAATCAAATAGTTTTAAGTTTAAATCGGATTTAGTATGATTTATTCCCTCATAACTTTATGTTTCTTACATGTATATTAATGATTTATTATATTTATCAAACCTGATGATTTAATTGTATTACGGTTGATTTAGATGTGTGGCGAGAGCTCTCTCATCATGTCGGGATTTTCGATAATATTTATACTAAATAAATAACTAGATGTCCATATATTATTGTCCCCTAGAGATTAGTAGTAAAAAAATGAGTTACGCTTAGCTAGAAACATGTGAGGATATAATAGAAAGGCAGGCAAGGCATGCCCACAAAAAGAGCAAGCAAGCACAAGATAGATACTTTCACACCTCCCACAAGATATGCTTCTTGTTGGCATATTCCCAAGCCAAAGATATGTGTAGCCTGCACAGATTTTATGCTCATGGAAGTGATTTGAAGCTCAATCATGGAGTTGCATGAATGGCTATAAATATATATGTATATGTATCAATCTTTATTAATATTTTGAAATTAGAAACAGATAGATATGATTCCATTATTGTTTGCCTGCTTATAATCATAGCAAAAAGAAAATGATGTTCCATTTGTCTTCTTATCAACCAGGAAGGATATAAAATCAACTAATGAACCCAAGAACCTTCTTTATGGAATCTAGGGCTATCTAAAATGTGTAGTAATTTCATAAGAGAATGTAACCAATGAAGATTTTTATTCTTTCATAGAATAACTAATTAAGATCCAACTAAGAATTTTAAAGAATAAAGATGCAAATCGATGAGTTTAAAGAATTAAGATCCAACTGAGAAAAATGCTTTATATATATATATATATATATAACAACACACAATATGTATATGAAAAAATAGAATATAACTAAATATTCAATGATTGTCATAGATTATGCTAAGTGAAAGAATTTTTTTTTCATTTCTTTGAACATGTTATACTGCACTGACTTGAATTTAAAATTCCAAGAAAAAAAATCCACTTCAATGAACAGATGTGTGTGGTATTGATCAAATATTAAAATTTTAATCTTAGTAATCTTAATTCAATTTTCGATAATTCAAAGTTAAAAAAAAAAAAACCGCTTCAATGAGTAAGATTTGCTATGCTAATAATTCAATGGGTTGCATTTTTTGGGCATCTTGGAGCTGGATTCGGGTTAATGCCTTTAAGGTCCATTGCCATAGCTCGTTAAAGCAAGCTTAGGCTTATTGGAGCATAGCCCATTTATTTGACATGGAAAGTCTAAACGACGCAGTTTACTCACTGATTTTTGCTTCCCTCAAACCCCTCCAGCTCCCCTTGTGATTGAATGGCTGTGAAGAGACCGAGCAGAACACACAACCATAACTTGTAACGAGCAAAGCTTTCATCTTTCAGAAGAATAAGCCTTGCTCTTCACAAAAATTTCATTTTTCAGTGTATATTTCCAGTTTTCTGTCAATTTGTAGAAACTCCAGTCAGTTCAGAACTGAGGTCAGTTATCGCTTCTTTTGAAAGGAGCATTGGAGAATCTATCATGAGATTGTAGTAAGATGTTTGCTTGCTTTTTCATTGAATTTTTAACTCTGGGTATTTCTTAGTTTTGTTAAATTTTGTATAAAAATGCAAGCTTTAAGTATCTGGCCATCACACGGTGGCTCTTTGGTTGTACCCCATTTGGATTTTGAGATTGGTTCTTCTTGTTTTGCATCTAGTATACCTAAAAGGAGAAAAAAATGGAGTCTTGTTGAGAGTAGAGGTTATAATTTTTTATTTCTCTCAAGCTATTCAAGGTTTAGCGGGAGTGGGACTTGTTGTAGGAGCTTGAATTGTAGTTTGAGATGTGGGTTCCTCTGCTGGTACTCTAAACTGAAAGTTGTTCTCTTTTGTGAGCCAAAGAAAGTTTTTTCTAGTGGGTTGGTTGCACCAGCTTGGGCAATGGAGCAACAAGAAATTGGGAATGGACTTGAAAGAGGAGAATCACATTCAAAGGATGATGACAATGGCAGTGAAGATGAAAGTGAGGAAGTGGATGTTAGTAGTGAGGGAGAAGTTGAGTTGAAGGAGAGTGCAAGGGTTGATGTTCGGGCATTGGCATATCGTTTACGGTTTGCTAAAACTGCAGATGATATTGAAAAGGTTCTTAAAGATATGGATGAATTGCCCCTTCAGGTACATTCAAGCATGATCAGTGGTTTTGGGAGGGACAAGTACATGGATGCTGCAATGGCCCTTGTTGAGTGGCTCAAGAGAAAGAAGGAAAGTGGCCGTGGTATTGGCCCAAACCTTTTTATATACAACAGTTTATTGGGTGCTGTGAAACACTCTAAACAATTTGGTGAAATGGAGAAAATCTTGGAGGATATGGTCAAGGAGGGGATTATTCCCGATATTGTTACTTATAATGTTTTGATGGCAATTTATTTAGAGCAAGGAGAAGCTACAAAAGCCCTTAATGTTCTTGAGGAAATTCAGGAGAAGGGCTTCAGTCCATCACCAGTGTCCTATTCTACTGCCTTACTGGCTTATCAGAGAATGGAAGATGGAAATGGAGCTTTGAAGTTCTTTGTTGAATTAAGAGAAAAGTATATGAAGGGAGACATAGGAAAAAATGCTAATGAAAACTGGGAATATGAGTTTGTTAAGATTGAGAAATTCACAGTTCGTACTTGCCAACAAGTAATGCGGCGATGGCTTGTGAAGGATGAAAATTTGAGCACCAATGTGTTGAAACTCCTGAGAGATATGGACAATGCTGGGCTTAAACTTAGTAGGGAAGATTATGAGCGGCTTATTTGGGCTTGTACCCGTGAAGAACATTATGTTGTTATAAAAGAACTGTATAGCAGGATTAGAGAAAAACATTCTGAAATAAGTTTATCTGTGTGTAACCATTTGATTTGGCTAATGGGGAAGGCTAAGAAGTGGTGGGCTGCTTTGGAGATTTATGAGGATCTATTGGACAAGGGACCAAGTCCTAATAACATGTCCTATGAATTGATCGTGTCTCACTTTAATATATTACTTACAGCAGCCAGGAAAAGAGGAATATGGAGATGGGGTGTTAGGTTGCTTAATAAGATGGAAGATAAAGGCCTTAAGCCTGGCAGCAGGGAGTGGAATGCTGTCCTCGTCGCATGTTCCAAGGCTTCAGAAACTACTGCTGCGGTGCAAATATTTAAGAGAATGGTGGACCAAGGAGAAAAGCCCACCATCATCTCATATGGAGCATTGCTCAGTGCCCTTGAAAAGGGTAAACTCTATGATGAGGCCCTCAGGGTGTGGGATCATATGATAAAGGTGGGTGTTAAACCCAACTTGTATGCCTACACAATTATGGCCTCAATTTTCACTGGAAAAGGAAATTTTAAAATGGTTAATGCAGTCTTTCAGGAGATGGCATCATCTGGTATCGAGCCAACAGTTGTCACATACAATGCAATTATTAGTGGTTGTGCTCGGAATGGCATGGGCAGCGCTGCATATGAATGGTTTCACCGTATGAAAGTCCAGAACATCTCACCGAATGAGATCACATATGAGATGCTGATTGATGCTCTTGCAAAAGACGGTAAACCAAGGCTAGCATATGAATTGTACCTAAGAGCTCATAATGAGGGCCTTAACCTCTCCTCGAAGGCTTATGATGCTGTTGTGCAGTCATGTCAAGTTTATGGTGCAACTACTGACTTGAGTGTTTTGGGACCTAGGCCACCAGACAGGAAGAAGAAAGTTCAAATTAGGAAAACTTTGACTGAATTCTGTAACTTAGCTGATGTTCCTCGGAGAAGTAAACCCTTTAATAGGAAGGAAATTTACATCCCAAAGAAACGAGGAAATCAATGAGAATTTAGGTACTGTTCAAAATCTAACCTGTTGTAATCATAAACCTCACATGCTTTTGCTGATTTCAAATCTGGTATTGTGCTAGCATCTTCTGACTTTGCAATTTACATTTTTACCTGTTTGATTGATGATTGGATTGCAATAAGAAAAGATGGCAGCCATTGAAGACTCAACTAAAAGGTGACATTTATATAATGGATTCGTATCATGTTGGATGTTGCCTGCCATTGAAGCTTTGGCATCAAGGTAAGTTTTTTATTTGTTTCCCAGGGTACATGGTGGTTTTTTTTGTTCATAATCCCAGAAAACTGGTTTAATGGTACAGCTTAACATCCATTACCCTTTCTGCAATCTGTCACATATACAAAAAGGAGAATCAGGGTTATGCATTTCACATCTTCCTTCCATTACCAAGATCATGTTATCTAATACTACAACTACACAAATACAACTGGAGATTTTGATCATGTAAGATTCAGGAATATGACATGGAACCCACAGAAAACAAGAAAATTTCATAGTTGTAGAACTATAATCAATGAATTAAAGTGCAAGTGACACAAATGTCAAAGGAAAATCAGAATATAATCTAAAAATATTATCTTTGGAAGCTAGAATCAGGTGATTATCTTAAGGGTCAAAAGCTCAAGTGCTGATATCTGGTATTATCTGCATAAAATTTACTTGTTTTTTAGATATGGGAATGCGAGGATTGGATCAACTCATTTCCTAGACTCAAGGATTGGGAAATTTCCTACTCTTTTGAATCTTGATTCAAATGGCACAATTGGACCATCTTTCCCTCTTTCCATGGCCAAGTTGTAACCAAAATTGGAAATGTGAAATTTACCAAATACCAAAAAAAAGTTACTTGTTGCTTTAAAAGATAAAAAAACAAAGTGAGAATGAACAATTTTGAGAAACCGAAATTCATGTATTTCCTAATTTTGGGTGAGAGAAAGCATTTTTGTGAAGAAAAAGGTATGATTAATAATTGGAAAGTGTAAAGGGGGATAAGTCATTTGGTGATTAAAGCTAGTGTAAACTTTTTCATAAGTAAGAAAACATTTGGAAAAAAGTCAATTACCTTCTTACTAAATTTAATAATTCATATATTTATATTATATAAAATATTGATAATTCATATATTTATATTATATTTTAAATAAAAATTATATGTTATAATTTGTAACGATACGAAAATATTAATATATATATTTTATTTTTTTTATAATTTTTATTAAAATTTTAATTCGTTTCATTTTCATATTTTTTATTTATATATTTTATATCATATTTTAAATTATCAAATCTAAATAAAATATTTAAAAAATTAAACAATAAATAAAGAAATCTTAATCACCCACAAAATGAAAAAAGATAATTAATATTGTAATACTAGTTGATAATGGAACACTTACAACTTTTATCATTTGCCCAAAAAAAAACAAAAAGGAATCTCAAACAATGATGCCTCCAACTAAAAAGGGTTAAATTAAATATTTATTTACTAATTCCTTAAATTAGGGATTTATTTATTTATTTATTTTTAGAAAACATTTCAATCTTAAAATAAAAAAGTTACTTTCTTTATGTAATTGTGTTTATTATACATTGGTAAAATTTTTTAAATTTAATTTTATAAATACATTTTAATAAGGTGGTCCATCATTACAAATGTAAAGTACAAAATAAATAAATAATTAGTATTAGGTAATAAAGCAACACTTAAACTTTTCTTCTGTCAGCTGCCTTTCTTAAAGCGATCTTCTAACAATTTTCGAAAAGCAGAGATTATGTCCAACCATTTAGTCCCACGCGCTCTAGTAATCACGGGTCTACCCACGTATTTGCTTTGCAACGTGGCAGCATCATAGTGAAGGAGCGTGCAGTTCAATAACGATGTCAGGTTTGCTGTTAAAGTTAAACTCTGACTTCAAAAGGATGTTGCCATAGTGTTGTTTTGATGTTTCCACGACTTGGTTTAGTTCTGTTCACGAAATCAAACGGTTTTCCTCGGAGTGGAAATAGTATTTTTTAACATGATTAAGACAGATAAGCCAGTGTTCGAATTCAATTTTTTAACGTTATTTACATTGCAAAGACGGCCAATGTATATTTTTGAGTCAGAGGTGCCAGAGAAGGACAGATTTCTTTGCTTATTCCAGACTTTTAGGTTTTATTAAATCAGGGTCTCAAATTTTTTGCTAGTTTCATTGTGATTTGGAGCCAGCAACAGAGATAGACTATAGTTCTTCTTTGTAAGTTTTTGATGTTGGGTTTTGAAGCAAATTGGTTTTAGTGAACTGGGTTTACATTTTTTTTTTTGTTTGTTTGATCTTTTTTGGTAACTGGAACATGATAAAGTTGGGACTTTGCTGGTTTTTTCCAGGGAGGATTAGGGGTTGAGTTCTGAGATGGGGTTATAGTAAATTTTGTGGAGATCTGGAAAGGGAATAGATAGGAGAAATATGGAGCCCCCAAAGGGATTTTTGGCTACTTTATGGAACTTTATATGCTTTCTACCTTACTTCATTGGCTTGCTGCTGTTAGGCACAATTAAAGGTGTGTGCCTTACAATTGTTTTTCTTGTTTTAAGGTTGTTTTGAATCTTTCTTGTTCACTAAATTGGTCTTTTGTGGATTTGCAATTCATGGAAATATATTCCACATGTATAACTTTTGGTTTAAATTGAATTTCCCTTTCTAGGCCTTTGGTAATGTTAGTTCATCTGCTTGATAAGAAGTAAAATCCAAGCCTGATAATGGTGTTTGGCATTTTAGTGATTAAATGCAATGCATTTTGCCTTTGATCTGTATGAATCTACTAACATATGAAGCATCAGTACTGAAACAATTCAAACCTTTCTATTGCACTGCATCTTCAGGAATCATTTTCTGCCCATTGATATGTCTTATCATGACAATTGGAAACTCATCTATCATATTGGCCCTTCTACCGTTTCATGGTTACTGGACTTGTTATAGCGTTCTGAGGTGATTTTCTTGACCCTTGACTTTCCCATTTGCTTTACCTCATTAATATTGTATTCTGTTTCTTATTCTGTTAATTTCTGTAATGGGCAGAACTAAACTATTAGGGCCTTTTTTGAAGCTCATTATTTGCGTATTCCTACCAATTGTCTTGATATTGTGGGTGGCGGTTGGCATTGTTGGAAGTGTCATAGGGGGGATATTATATGGCTTTCTTTCACCAATATTTGCCACTTTTGATGCTGTAGGAGAAGGAAAGACCAATGTGTTTATCGACTGCTTTTATGTATGTCTTAGATATCCATGTTCTGATAATCTTTTCGCATAGATTAACTTCTCTTCTTCTTGTATTATAAGAGGGAGACTTATATTTTGCTCTGTTTCCAGGATGGTACTTGGAGCACTATCAAGGGCAGCTTCACTGTTGTTAGGGATTTCAAGGATGTTTGTTTCCATTCATACATCTCGTTTATGGAAGACCTGCAACAGAAAGGGCCTCCAAATGGAAATTACTATGAGATCAGGTAGATATGTAGTTCTTGCTGCCCATTTTAACCTTTAAGTCATGTTGCTGTCAGGTTCAAGAGAATCAGTGATGCCATGATTCACAAATCCTTTATCACTGAAGATGTTTGCTGACTATGGAACCCTCAGCAAGCCACATGATAAGTCCTGAAATTAACTGGAAGCCAGTTAACTTATAAGTTTAAGTCCTTGCATCATTCTATTGCTATTGACTCGTTGATTTTAAACTTCCTCAATTTTTATGCATATCTTTCCTAAAATTCTTAGGATCAGAGACAAGATTCTCCCACTATCAGCAGTCAATAAATTGATCAAAACTTATGGTCTTTTCTTTTTGAGTTCACTGGTGTTTTTCACCCGTGGAGTCAAGCAAATGCATGATAGATTCTATTGCCAAGAAATTAGATCAAGTAAAGTCTCCTGTCCATACTTTGTTGATGGCTGCATCTGGCTAGGGCCCAAGTTTATTTCATCATTTAGGTTACTCACAAAGAATATGGTGGTGTTATGAATGTTATATTGGTTCTTCTTTCATTTGCTTAGAGATTGGCAATAATGTGTGCTAAATGATTTAAGTTCCTCAAATACATGGATATGTACATGAAACTGATCATTTTTCCTTTAAGTGCTAAAAATACCAAATGTTTCATCAGAAATGCTGCGTGGGTAAATTTGATAAAAGGATAATTGTGAAATTGCAAAGTATACATGTGGAAATATTGTCCAAGAGCTAGTTGGTTTAAAATTTAAATTGTAGAAGGTAGAAGGCCAATTTTGAATGAAGAGAGTTTGACAAGTGTGCTTATATTTAGGTTCCTATAGGGAGTTAAGCTATGTGGAGTTTTTTTTTTTTAAAGAAAAGAAATCCCTTTTTGTTTGAACTGAATTTTCTATGAACTCCATTGCAGATTTCTTTATCTTCCTCCAGCTCTTATAGCTGCAGTGCTTGGATTCATGGTTGATTTGCCAGTGATTTCAGTTATTGCTCTATGTAAAAGCCCTTACATGCTCTTTAAGGGGTGGCACCGATTATTTCATGACCTTATAGGTCGAGAAGGCCCTTTCTTGGAGACTATATGCGTACCATTCGCAGGCCTTGCAATCCTACTCTGGCCACTGGCCGTTGTTGGGGCAGTTTTGGGCTCGATGGTCTCCGGTATCTTCCTTGGTGCCTATGCAGGGGTGATTGTTTATCAGGTTTATATCTTCTACATAGCTTTAGTGCCTTTGCTAAGTCTTCCTATAAAATATCATTGTCCATTAATTTTCGTTTGATTAAGCATGTGGAACTTCATAAATGCAGCATTTAGTTTGAGCTTATAAGCTCATATGCTCAGTTTGGAAAAAGAAAAAAACACTTCGTATCTCTTATTATTATTATTTTGTTTCTTGAAATGGCACCTTTTTTTTCGATTGACACTTTCATTCTTAGATCTCATTGATAACCAGATGAAGTTATAAATGTGATTTTCAAAAAAGGCAAATCGTGCTGTTAGTGCTTGTATTGGCTTCTATCAATTGTTGTTGTCTCATCAATGGTTCTACTTAATCTTGGAATTTCGAATTTATTGTGAACCATTTTCTTGTTGAGCTTCTTACTTTCTTGAATATATGCAAGTATTTTAGAGCATTGGTACCTGTTTCAGTACCACTATGCTAGACACCTGTTTTGAATGTACATTAGATGCTAAATCTTTGTCATCTTTGTCCTCATTTCCATTCAACATATAACTTGATTGTGCGGGCTTTGGATGCAGGAGTCCTCATTTTGGTTTGGGCTTTGTTACATTGTGGCTTCCTTGTCCATATATGACGAATACAGCAACGATGTCCTTGACATGCCAGAAGGATCTTGCTTTGCCAGGTTTGATTCAGCAGTCTAACGATTTATAATTGTAATATATACACCTTGACGAATTTTTATAAGTTTTCTTTTATAAACAGGCCTCAGTATCGTAAAAACCAAAAGGAATCCACCTCTAATGCAAGCTCGTTTGCGAAATCTGACTCCTTCAAACCTCATCCTCCTGGTCGTGTTGATTCACTTACAAATACAAGGATTGATTGGAACCCACTTGAGGTGACTTGCTTGTTTGTGGATGTTTCCATTTTGAATAAAACCAACATTTCCTTGCATGCATCTAATGATTCTTGGATACTAACTTTTGAAGATGTTCATATTTATGATTAATGTAGCTACTTGAGGGCTTATTTAAGGAGTGCCGCCGCCATGGGGAGAAAATGGTTTCTGAAGGGTTTATAACTGCTAAAGACATTGAAGATGCCAAGTCTAACAAAGGAAGTAGAGCGGTCAGCATTGGCTTACCAGCTTATTGTCTTCTTCAGGCACTCTTGCGCTCTGTGAATGCCAATAAGTCTGGCATATTGTTGGGTAAGTAAACACCATTTCCGCTAATGCAACTCCCAAGGAAGTGTTTCTTGTGAAAGAGACTTATAATGGTGGTGATACTTGTTACAAACTTTCAAATGGCATTGACAGCGTCAAATGAATTGTTTTTATATAGGTGACAATACTGAAATAACAGCCACAAACAGACCAAAAGACACCTTCTTTGATTGGTTTCTTGACCCCTTTTTGATACTAAAGGAGCAAATAAAAGCCGAGGATCTTTCCGTTGAAGAAGAGCATTACTTAGGCAAATTAGTTTTGCTATGTGGTGATCCTGCAAGGTTGAAAGTTTCAAATATAGGCTCTCCACCTGAATCTGAGCGTAAACGAGCCGAACTTGATGCATTAGCCCGAAGGTGAGTATGCAACTAATATATTCTTCTTCCTTGATGTTCTGTCATGCTTCCTACTGTAACCCCATTTTTGCTTCATAATAAAGGTTACAAGGTATTACCAAATCTGTGTCAAGGTATCCAACTTTCAGGCGTCAATTTGAGAACCTTGTCAACACACTATTGGAGGATCTGTCGGAAAAGAATGGTGGTAGCAGCAAATCAAGTAACAGGGCTCGACCAATTCAGAGATCAAAGAGCGCCTTTGCTCGGATATTTAGTAGTAAATCATTCAAGCGGAATACAAGCTACAACAACATGTCTGATCAAGAGTCACAATCAGTTATTGCTAGGGATATAGAAACTTCGTAATGTAGGAATGTCAAATTGTCGATATCATAATTGGACTAATTCCTTGGACTTGCTTGCTTCACTGTTTAAGTTGCCAATTCTTGATAGTTCAAGTCATAAGTACATACAAAATTTTCATATATAGGAAGACTCAGTCCCGGGACAGAAAAAATATTGTATGTGTTGAAATTCAAATCTCGTGATCTCATGCGAGTTTGATGCATCGAAAATTTTAGATACAAAAGATTCTTTAGAAAAATCAAACTTAAATTGACAAGAAAATGAAGGGTTCTTTTTGCCAAGTTGACTGGCCATTACCAACCAGCACATTGAAATTTATTACTTGTAAGTGAAAGTTAAACCAATTGATTAAGACTTTGCTTGGTAAAGAATGTGAAAATGGCAAAAGATGGAAAATATATTAATTTATAAGGTTAAAATTTATAATTATATTTTTTATTTTGTAATTTAATTATTAAATTAATAAATTTTTTATCGCCAATCATTTTCAATTTTACTACCAAGTAAAGCTTTAAACTTGATAATTTTAAACATCATATAGTAATATCACATGAAAATGATATAAATAAAAAATAAAAAAATAATATGATTTAAAATTTTAATTAAAATTATAAATAAATTTAACAAAATAAAAAAAATATTTTTATATTTTTATATCGATATAATAACATAATTTCATATAAATATTATATAAATATATAAAATTTTAATATTTTATACTATACAAAATTCATGAATTATTATATTTATAAAACTTAAATAAAAAAAACTATCCCCCGTAGCTGCTTCCCATTATCTCCATGAAAAGACAAGTCAAAAACCACTCTCCGTGTGGTTTGGACTAACTTGTCAACCAGGTTTTGTTACTGAAAAGCGCCCGAAAAGGCTGAGCCAATGGCTTCCAAACTAAATGCCTTACCACGCATCATTTTGTTTTCTCTTCAATATTCATTATTATTCTATTTTATTTCATTAATTAAAATAAAATTTATAATTTCTAAAATTTAATCGATTGAATTTAATTTGATTAATTCAATTGATTTTTGATTCAATCAAATTATAAAGTGCTTTTAAGTTAAATTATATTTTTTATTCTTAAATTTTTATAATTTAAATAAATATAAATAAAATTATTCAATAAAATATTTAAAAATTAAAATACATTCATAATATATTTAGAATTTTAACAGTATAAAACTTAAAAATATATATAATTTGTTATATTTTGACTAATAATTTATCTCATTCAGTTAATTCTATTTATCAAACCAATTAATGAAAATTAAATTTTTCTTTAAATCCCTTTCTATAACCAATGAATTCAATTTAATAATCATCTAATTAATCAAATTAATTTGAGTTAATTAATTAATTCAATTAAAATTAAATCATGAAGATTCTTTCTTTTTTAATCTTCTTAATTAAATTAAGGAAGATTAAAAAAAATTTTAAAATCTTTTTTTATAACCGATGAATTTAATTTGATAATCGATTAATTAATCAAATTAATTTACTTTAATTAATTAATTCGATTACAATTTAATTATAAAGGTTCTTACTTTTTTTTTATTTTTCATATAAAAATAATTAATCTTTGACCAAATTCTGAAAAAAGATTAATATGCCAAGTATAGTAAGAAAAAAAAGTTTGTAATAAAAGTAATTAAAAGGAAAAAGAAAAAAAAAATTGCTCTAGCAAGCGACAAGTTTAAAAGAGGATCCCTATAAAAAAGGCACAAAGGTTGGTTAAAAGGTCATAAAAACGGGTACCAAAATATTGTAAGTTCTGCACGTGATCTAGGGTTGGAAAAAAACGTGGCTGAGAAACTGAAGGAATTGAAGGGAAAAAAAGAACAAAAGAATGGGAAGTTGTGAAGAGTACTCATCATCACTGCCAGAAACCCCAAGCCAAACTCAACCGGAGTCTCCTTCAAGGTTTAACTTAGATACCCTTTTGTCTGATCTTTACCCTGGAACAGAAAAAGAGGAAGAAAGCCTCGTTGAAGGTCTTAAAAGTGTGAGCTTGGAAGAGAATGACAGGAATAGCTATGGAGATAACAACAACGGCAGTGAAAATCTTCAAGCGGAGTGGGAGGATGGGGAGAATTATCAGTACCCTTTAAGGCCTTGTGCTGAAGATTGTAGCTTTTTTCTTAAAACTGGCACGTGTAAGTTTGGTTTGAACTGTAAGTTTAACCACCCAGTTGGGAGAGGGTTTCAGGTATAAGTTTTTCTTTTTCCGGGGTTCTGTTTGTTTTCTGTAAGGGATTGATCTTTTTTGTTATTATTGTAGTGGAGTTATGGTTTTTGTGGTTTTCCCTTTTTATTGTTATTGAAGGATGAGGAGAACTATAAAGGATGGACTGCTGAGCAAACAGGGCGAATTGAATGCAAGGTTAGGCTCTTGCGGCAACAGGAAATTGTTTTATGCTAGTTTCCTATTATTTACACTTTCATCATTCTTTACTACCTGTGTTTCTGTTCAATTCTTTATTTATCAATATCTGATTTAAGTTAAATAGCTAGTACTGATTTTCTAAAAGAAATCACTTCTAATATCTTGAATGTTTAAGGATAATGCTGTCTTTGATGTGATCTCAGCCACTTTTTGTTAGACCAAGCATTATCATAAACATGGCATGAAGTATTGAGTTCCTCTATGTTATGATGTTTGTAGTATTATCGAGCCACTGGAGGTTGCAAGTATGGAAATGCTTGCAGATATAGGCACTGTAATGAAGATTATGTATTAGCTCCACTAGAAGCCAACTCCTTTGGCCTGCCAGTACAAGTGGTACATCTATTATAAAAATTTCACTACTTTTTTAGATCGTTTCTACCTTATTGATTATCCATGCAAATTTTCTAGTAAATTTAACATCATTGTCTTCCTTCCATTTTTGGTTGTAACTTGAAGGTTATAAAAGAGAATAGGGAAAAGGATGGCTTTAAGGAACAGACAGGGCAGATTGAATGCAAGGTTTAAATATTAGTCTTGGCCCATGGCAATGCTAAAGAGTCATTCTAAGCTTTGAATTCGAAAGTTGTTATTGACAATCTTGATTTGCATATTGTTGTTTTGGCAGTATTACCTAACTTCAGGAGGATGCAAGTATGGAACAGCTTGTAAATATAGTCACTTCAAAGAGAAGTCTAGATACCTGGAAAAGTCTGAGTTACCTTTGCCAGAACTTAACTTTCTAGGCTTGCCAATTCGAATGGTTATAATTTTATGTTTTCTCACTTGGTTTTTAAAACAGGCTTGTTCAATGAATACTTTGCAATTGGATCTATCTTGTTGGTGGCAATGTGAACTAACTGAAATTCTACGTCATTTCAGCTAGAGAAAGAGTGTCCTTATTACATGCGTACTGGTTCTTGTGGATATGGGGCTAGTTGCAGGTTTAATCATCCTGACCCCACTTCTGCTGAAGGATCCAACACTTTCAGCTCAGATCCTTCTGGCTTTGGAGGCCATTCTTCGGAAAATTATAATGGTGAATCCGATGCTCTGCCATCATCACCCAAACCAACTGCAGCTTCATCGTCTTTGAACATGATGTCAGATAAGCATGTTCCATACTTGAATCATAATTCATCATCTGCTCATGTCACGCATCTGAATTCTGAATGGAACGGACATGAGGTAGTTCTTCTTTCACTCCAGTCAACCAAGTTTGTTTTATATATTGCTGCTTTTATATAGTTTTTTTCATAAAGAAATTTTGGTTTTCAAACTTCTGCTGTTAGTATGATGGTTCTTTATTTCTGATGTAAGGTTTCTAGATTCGTAGGAAGTCTGGATGATGGTGTTTCTCTTTAATCCAAATCTCTCACTCTCTCTCTTGGGTGATGATTTGAGCCACCTTTGCTGTTAAGTTTATATTGAAGAAGGACGGGAGATGATAGTTATGAATTGTTTAATCTATGATTACCTCTCTTCACGTAATTTTCAATGTATTTTCTATGTCAACTTTCTTCATTGTCTCTTTTTGGAGTAATTACAGTCGGCATTATATCTATTGCTTCTGTATAAAGAGTAAAAATGCTAGAATTTTCTATGTGCCTCGATTTGGGGACAGGGGAGCACAGGTTATTTACTATTCTTCAGTTTTAATTTAGCTTGCACTCTGTGTGTGTGCTTGTAGAGACATTGGCTGTGTCTGAGGTGGTTTATGCTATTACATATTCTGGCGTGATCAAGAAATTTTGTGTGTTAGAACTCTTACAGGAACTTATTTGTGGCTTGGTTTGACCCTTAATGCACAGGAAAAAACCAGTCATCCTTATTCATCTCGTTCAATACACAGTGCAATGAAGACAGAAGATATCTCCAAACTCCATCAAGAGCCGATACAAGTTGATGAATTCCCTGAGCGACCTGGTGAACCTGAGTGTCCTTACTTTATGAAAACTGGATATTGCAAGTTTAAAACTGCATGCAAGTTTCATCATCCCAAGATTCGATCTTCAAAGCCAACTGCCTTTATCCTTAGCAGTGCAGGCCTGCCTCTAAGACCTGTAAGTCTCCATCATCTTCTGTATATTACTCTTACCTATTTGCAATATCCATTCATAAAGAAAGAGATAAAAGTTTATTTGAGCATGAAATTGGTTATTCCCGGTTGATAATTGCTTTGAAAATCAGCCAACTCAATCACATTGGCGATGGAACTAGCAGCAATTCTTCATCTCCCTTTGATTATTCTGCTCCTGTTTGGTACATTTGTTTACCTTTCAATATTATGTTGCCCAACAGGATAGAAAAATCTGCTGGAACTACGAAAAATTTGGTGTCTGCAAGTATGGAAGGAGCTGTTATTTTCACCATCCAGAGAATCTTTTCTCATCAGATTTCTGGGTTGACTCTATTCCATAGTTACCATTAGGCATCCATGCTGCAACTTTTGGACAAGTGACTAAAATGGTGGATTATGAGATATGATGTAGAATTTGTACAGTAGGCCCCTAGTTTTCTGCTGACAATTTGTTCTCTCTTTTTGGGTCCTGCTTGGTTAATATGATCAAATTTTCGGGTTTTTTTTTTAGGATTTATATGCCCTACAACCATATTATTATGATTATTGCTCCATGAATGCTGAGGTAAAAATGTATCAAAGATCTGTTCTCATCTTTATTAATTTGTAGTATAAACTATAAAGATTATATGCTTGATTAAATAAGATAGGTTTAATTGATAATGATCAAATTATGCGATTAGTTCTTGTATTCAGACAAAATGTGAGATTTAATCTTTATACTATAATTCATATAAATCGGCTCTTGCTTTAACGGTTTGTTAATGTCAATTCAATATAGCTGGCATTGTTGTTGGCCTTGTTGACATGTTGACTTTGCTTATTGCCGTGTTAACGTGTTGTTGACTTTGCTTGTCATTTTTCATGAATTTTGAATTGCAATGAATCTATGTTTGGTCCTATGGGCAAGAATAAGAGTCCCTTTCTCCCTCTGTCCAAATCCTCCTCCCTCACTCAAGAACATTGTCTAACAGCCCAGAATCCTGTCGGAGAACCTCAAAAGACTAACTTTGGATGATTTAGATTCTTCTAAATCCCTCTAAAACATTATAAATTTAGTCTTCGTAATCTAAATCTAAAATATGATACGATAATACGATATGAATATGATATAAAAATAAGATATAAAATTAATATAATTTAAAATTTTAATAATAATTATGTGTTAAACAAAATAAAAAAATGCATTTCATATTTGTGTCGATTTGAATTATGACATGTAATTTATGTGAAACACGATACAAAATATAAATTTTAATATTTTATATTATATAATATAAATATATAAATTTTAATATTTATCTTTATTTATAAAATACGAACTTTGGGAATAAGTTTAGGCCCTTAATTGAACCACATAAGCCCAAACATGAGCCCAAACACATCTCATTCGGTCCTAATGGTACCATCTCAAGTTTGTCATTTTTGAGCATTTGTTTCAAAACACAAAACACCAAATTTTAGCCCACGTCCCTCACACTTGCCAAAAAAACTTTGTCCACTCATAATCCACCACGTGTAAACTGTTGTTAATGGACCATTCTGAGCACACGCCCTAGAAAAACATAGAAAAATCGAAAGCAAATGAATGCTCCAAGCCTTAACCTACGATCCATATTCATCCACGTCATTGTAGCGACACTTAAAGGTCCACCAAATCGACGGCAACCAAAAATCAAAACTTAAACTCCACAAACTGCCCCTCGTACCAACCTACCTTCGCTTGCTATTTAAAGCCCATTTCCGTCATTCAACATTATACATTGGACTATTTTTGCCTCTGTCTTTCGTTTTCCATTTTTCATTCTCTTTTCCCGGAACAATGGCAACGAGTTTGGTTCGGCGAGCTATGAATATGGCGTCACGCGTGTCGTCATTGACGGTGGCTCCGGCATCGAGGCTGGTGTTGGAGCGACCCTATGCCAGCGAAACACAAGCTCAAAAGGTGGAACCAAAAGCCGCCGCCACGCCCAACATGAAGACCTTCCAAATCTACCGATGGAACCCAGATAACCCAACGAAACCGCAACTCCAAGACTACAAAATCGACCTAAAAGAATGTGGACCAATGGTTCTCGACGCCCTACTCAAGATCAAGAACGAGATCGACCCATCACTCACCTTCCGTCGCTCCTGCCGTGAAGGAATCTGCGGCTCTTGTGCAATGAACATCAACGGCTGTAACGGCTTAGCTTGTCTGACCAAGATCGAATCAGGTCCGTCGGAGACGATGATCACGCCTTTGCCACATATGTTTGTGATAAAAGATCTGGTGGTTGATATGACGAACTTTTATAATCAGTATAAGAGTATTGAGCCTTGGTTGAAGAGGAAGAATCCGCCGCCGACGGCTGGGAAAGAGATTCCTCAGAGTAAAAAGGATAGAGCTAAGTTGGATGGCATGTATGAGTGTATTCTGTGTGCTTGTTGCAGTACCAGTTGTCCTAGTTATTGGTGGAATCCTGAATCTTATTTGGGTCCTGCTGCTTTGCTTCATGCTAACAGGTAATCAAAGTCATGAGCTTTTTGGGGTTTCATTGGTTAATTTGATTTTTTTGATGATTTTTATGGCTTGGGATTGGGTTTTATTTGATTGGTTGATAGGAAAAGACCTAGATGGTTTAGGGTTTTCTATTCTTAATGATCATTCCAATTCATATTAATCATTTCAAAATTGGGGTTCTTTGATTGATTCATTAATGTTTTTTTTTATTGATTGATTATTGGATAGTTGAAGCTTGAGGACTGTATTAGGCTCTTATAGTTTGGTAAGAAGGTTTGTTTTGGTTTATGTTCTGTCTTGTGTAAGGGAAATGAGGTATAATTGTAGCTTTGATATGTTAATTCAACATTGGGAGTGGCTTTTGATGACTCATTTTGTAACTTATTTTTTAAGTTTTTGGTAATTCTACTATTTGGTTCGGTTACTTATGTTCAAATGTTCCATGAATGTTGGTTGAAAATGTGCAAAAGGTTCTGGTTAAACATGTAGTAGCTGAATTATCGCATTAGAAAGTTTCAATTAGTGATGCTTGGTGAGTTATCCATGTTTGTTCATCTGGTTCATTCAACTAATTCTTGCCGCCTTCACACAACCCTCTACCATTAAGCATATTATATCCAAGTTTGGTGTTAGATCTTGAAGGCTATCCCTTGTAAAAGGACCTGTCAGTTATATTACACTAAAAAGTTTTTTGCTCATTGATCTTAGTTCTTTCCCTTTTGATTATGTTTAGTTCTTATGTTGTTTGGTGTCTTTCAGAGCTATAAAGTATAGACTCTTCCATTTTAGATTTCTATTTTAAATCTCTGAAGAGAGCATAGCGAATGCTGAAGATTATTGATTACTTTTTGAGTTTATAAAGCTTCTTAACCATGTTCTTACATGCAGATGGATAAGCGACAGCCGTGATGAATACACAAAGGAGAGATTGGAGGCCATAAATGACGAGTTTAAGCTGTATCGTTGCCACACAATAATGAACTGTGCTCGTGCTTGCCCAAAGGGTCTGAGCCCAGGATTGCAGATCATACACATCAAGCAGCTTCAGCTTACTGGTGGTGCTTAAAGTTTCAAACTTCACAATAATGTGTATTTAACCAGTTAATCTGGATTGTTTTTGTGAGGACTCCTCAGAACAATTTGCTTTGAGTTAATCATGCCAATAATTGTATTCTCCCTCACAATTGTACTTAATTTTGTTATAATTTGTTCTAGGTCCGTTTGATTGTCATTTCTGTTTGTTGCATATTCAGCATATTGAATCCTGTTTTTATCAGAGATTATGGAGTTTGGATATCCATCTACCACTCAACTAACTGAAGTCTGCAGCAAAACAAAATGAATAGAAAACAATACATTTCTCATTTCTACTTCACACACACATAGCATTCGATCTATGTGGCTCCTTTTTTAACATGTTGAAAAAGGATAACAGACCGGAAAGTTGGCATAGTTTGCATAATTATCATCACAGATTTGAGATGAATCATTCTTATAAAAGTATTCAAAACGAAAATTTCCAGTTTCCAAATCTTATGTAATGAGTTAGGTCTATCATCCCTGAGACTTGAACCGCATAAAAGCCTGCATATATATGAAAACAGCCCCTGCTTTTCATTATGTCCTAGAATGGTTAAGATAACAACAACATGGATTTTTGTGCTCATAATTTCTGCTATCCGAACTAATGTCGTTGATGCCAGCAACCGGCTTTCAGTTCCCATGGAAGCTCAAGTCCTTGAGCCACCAAAGTATGTTACTGTCACAGGTGAAGTAATTTTCCATGAAACTTCTTTCTGATAATTATAAACTTGGAATTGATTCATATTAGTAGGATGAAAACAACTACTAATTTTTCATGCTCGTAAAAAATTTTCGGTTATCCAGAAGAAAGGCTATAATAGTATCTCTGTTTCCTTTTCAATAGGTTGCAACAGTGACTGTGATACAGCTTGCTGTAATTGTGACATCGAGAGACAGCCACCAATGTGCATCTATTGCTGCCAAGAAGAGACATGAGTTACTGCCAAGCATGATCACAAGAATGGATGAAAGTTTGAAAGCATTAGGCATACATCACCTTCCCTACATAACACATAAAGGACCATGGTTTCATGGAAGATGAATCTCTTAGCTATGAAAAAGCCATGAATGAGAACAGTGACATAGACGTTTGCATTCCACGCATAAAATGTGATATAGGATTATTAAGAACTCTGCCTAGAAGATGGATACAGTAGCATTACAAAACATTCTCGCTGCATGAATTCTCTTTCCTCACAAGTTCAAAAGCATTTGAAAGTGATCTCTCAATACAACTTGGAGAAAAGCACATGAACTCTTTTATATTCAATGATTCATTATGTCAGTAAAGTCATCAATTTTACAAAAATCGATGAGCACATCAGGATATACAAATCTATAGTACCCACAAAAAGCTCCGGTAGCCTTGAGACCTCCTCAATCAGAAATGGAGATCCTCCTCAAAAGACCAAGGAATACAGTAGCTGATGAGATTAGTACCTTGAGATCAGCAATATCAACATCATGGCCGCCTTCAACCAGACCCCATTTATCCACCTAGATATATACAAGAGAAGTCTCAAGTTAATTCTACTGGAAATAATCACAATATGTTAAAATATAACTATGTTAATATGTACATGCAAGTCCATGTTTTTGCAAGAGAGATTTACTAAGATGAAGAGAACCTGCAAATCTTCCTCAAGTCTAATCAACTCGATTGCTTCCTCAATCTGCAATTTACCCTGAAAAATTCCTAGAGCGATAACCAAAGAGTGTGCTGCAGCCGCAAGGGCATCAATTACTGCCAATTCACAGTCATCTGTCTTCTTTAGGAGGTTTTCAATAGCCTTTGTGAGACCGTCCCCTTGTGTCCCACCAAAAAAGCTGGAGTACACTATAGGCTTAAAGCCAAATTCTGAGTTTACCCAAGCAAGTAAAGGATCAACTTTCTCAACTTGCCCTGCTGCAAAAATAAATAAATAATGTGGGATATTATTGCATTTTGGTTTTCACACTGAATCATGCATACAATAATGAGAATAAACTGAAAGGAATTCAGTTTTTCATCGAGCATATGCCTTACAGTCAAGAAGGAATAAGCTACACACCATGGAGATCAACTGTCAGAGAATTATACTCTGGAGCACTACAGAATAATAAATCTTGATCAAATTTCTTCATCAGATGTTCAATGATCTTCACGCGTGAGTGGAACTCTCTCCAGCGCTGTGCAAGCAAGTTTCATCAGTGGCATAGTAAAGGGTCTGATTCCATCTGTTTGCTACAAAAATTAACATCTCATTACAGAACTCACTAAACCTGTTGGACCTAAGATCAACTAAAACATATACGACATATCATTTGGGGTCACCTTATCCACTTTCTGAAGTTAACATAACCAAAAGACAACCAATTCAGACAAGCTTAAGCTACCACTTGACAGAGATGCAAAAACACCCGACCAAACACTAAACTAACAACTTATTCAATCCCAAATTAATGAACTTTTCTCAAATTCAAAAAGAACCCACATTTTTATAGCACAAAAATGAAACTAAAAACAAAGAATTAAAAGAAAAGATGGTATCTGATAAGAGTCTGATAATCAAGCATCACCGTCCATCCAACTCCATCACCAGACTCTCTCGTACTAACTTTCTTATAAAAACTCTTCCCAACTATCGACCCAGTCATGAATGACATCGGCATCGTCACCGACGATGACGTCCTCGTTTCTGGCATCGCATTTGAAGTCGGTAGCTTTAAGTAAATGATATTATTGTCTTATTCTTTGTTGTTGATGGTGCTGTCGAAAGTGAATGACGATGAAGAAGATGGTGAGTCATGGGTGGCGATGGAGGCGAAATTTACCGAGCGGAGAGTTGAGGCGAAATTGGGTCGTTTTATAGGGTTAAGGCTTCGTTTAAAAGTAAAGTGGCCATCGATTTCTCCGGTTTTTTTTCTCTTTTCTGAGCTTTGCTGTAAGGTTTTTCCACTTTCCAGTGCGAGAAGAATTGGGAGGAAAAAGCCAGAGAAACATTGACTGGGCTTTGAGTTCAGGCTCAACTAATCTAACCTTTGTTCGGTTGTTTCACTTATGGGTTGGATTGCTGCATTGATTGGGGTTGGGTCAATTCCCTGAGTTATAACATATTGGATTGGTCAAATTAAATTTAAATTTTTAGATAATTAATAATATTATAAATTTTAAAAATTTTGATTTGAATTTGAATAATTTTTTTTTAAATTAATTCGAATTTTATTCATTCATTTCTATTTAGTTTATCAATTTTTAAAATTTAATTTTTTTGCTTTTATATATTATTTTAATAAGTTTTTAAATATATTTAAATAAATTTAAATATAAAATAATTATTTTTATCTTATAAAAATTAATAAAAACATATAATTCTTATTCGGTTCAGTTATTTTTTTTATTTTTCACATTTCAATTCAAAATTCAATCAAAATTTAATATATACATTTAATATCTAAATTTAATTTAAATCAAATAAAAAAGTTAATTCAAATCAAATTAATCAAAATCAAATCAAATAATACGATTTTAAATTAATTTTTCTATGTTCTTTATCATGACATTTGGTTTGTGGTGGAATTTATTTTGCAGGAAGAACAATTACAATATCATATGTAGAGGTCATTCGATCTTTTTGCTTTGTTTTTCCATGTTGCATATAGAAAGACAGATACATCTGAATCATTGTGAAACAAACAAAATGTATGACATTTTTAGAAAATTTCTCCTGAATGAATTTGCATTTTAGCTTTGTTATGATCTTTTGTGGCGGGGGAGAAAGTAACTCTACAACAGTTACCTTAATGCATGCTCAATCCCCTTGTTCTGTCCCTGAGATCATGTCATTGACAACTCAAAAAATACAATGAATTTGGATTCAATCCAAATCGAAATAACCCAAATTTAAAATATTTGAATTAGAGATGTTTATTTGGTCAATTTGATTAATTTTAAATCAAATTATTTAAATTTATTATTTTATTTTCATCAATCGAATCAAATTTATTAATTTTAAAAATTAATTTGATCAATTCAATTAATTTTTTTGGTTTATCAAATAATAAATGTATTTAAGTTAAATTACATTTTAAATTCTTAATTTCTCATATTTAAAAAAATTATCTAATAAAATATTCAAATATTAATGTATTATATTACAAACTCTAACAATTTATGAAATAAAATAAAAATTTTATGAAACAAAATGACACATTTCATTTTTTTTATTTTATATTTGAATTTTTGTTATATTTCGATTAAAATTTTAATTAATTTAATTGATTCAATTTTTAAACCAAATTAATTAAGAATCGATTTTTGTTAACTGTCTAAAATTAATTTGATTATAGATCAATTAATTAAATTAAATCAATTTAATTAATTAATTCGATTAAAATCAAATTATAAATACTTTTGATTTCAATCCAAACCTATCCAACTCTATGAATGCTTTGGAATTTGATGTTATTGTTATTCGATTAATTTTAAGAGGGAAAAAAAAATCAAGTTCAAGTGGGGTGGTGGGTTAATGTCCAACAAAACTAGCACATTTGCCACCAAATAATCCAAGTAATTGGCCCTCAATTCTTGTGAATCTACAACTTCCTTTCCCTGTACAAAATTTTGGACCCTTTCCACTATCAATATTAGCCATGAAAAAGGAGATATGAATTAAAATATGGGCAGCAACTTAATCAAAGAATGTAATCAATTGGAGGAAGTTCCTTGTTTGCCAATTTGTTAAATCCTATATTAGTTGTCACTGCACATTATTGTCATAAGCTTGGTCCATAAGTAGCTATGACCAAAAAAACTACTTGCTTCCCAAGTTTGTCCCTTTAATCAAAAGCATATAAAAAGAGTTGCAAACAAAGCTTTCTCATCTTATCCTCATCAATTATCATTCCTTTAGCTCGCATCACATTCTTGCCAAAAATTAAGAGGGAAGGTCGCCAACATGGTATGATTAGGACTTAACTGATCCTTTCATCTCCATGAAATTCAAGACCCAAATTCTGATTCGTTCAACAGTTCGATTCATCTCCGACTGCTAAATTATTCATCAAAGTATCTGTAAAACCTACTAATCATTTTAAGTTTACCGGACAATGCAATAGACCATGGTGCCTAAGGAGTCACATGCACCCGGCTTGTAAATCCAAAGATAAGACCAAGGGTGCTCATAAGTTAAGGTCAAGTGATATTGGCACGAATTATAAATTGGTGAGTTGTTGATTAGGACCATTTGTCTGGTGACTATGAAGATTATTATGATCAAGGTCATGATAGTTACATAAATGATGATGATCAATGTGGTATAGTCAATGATGATTTCAAACTGAATTACCAATCTCTAAAAGGCAGAAAATTATGAGGGTGAGATTAAAGAAAAGATTGTTGATCATAGCAAGGATGATGATGATGATGATGTGAAGTTTGTTTTGGATCATGATTTGGAAGAGGAAGGTTGGTTTTTGGTCGAGGAAATTTGATGATCAATATTTCTCAAATTTTATTTTTTTTTATTAATTTATGTTTGAGTTTAATATTTGGGTATGATTGTAACTTGGGTTTCGGGGTTGGTCATAATTTTACTAAAATAGTCCATATTCAACTTTCCAATTTTTCTTAATTCAACAACGTAAATTATTATTTTTTTAATAAAACAATCATAACGTGAAAATAAAAAAATTATAATTATTAAAATTTAAATAATAGACTTGCTAGATATTATTTTTTTAAAGAACATTGCATCAATTAATAAATTTTTTATATTTAATAATGAACAACTTCATTAGACAATTATTTTGGTTTCAATGTAACAAAGATGGTGTTCACATGGTAAAAAAATTATTAAATATGTTAGACAAGTGTGGGAGTTAAAATGAATATAAAAGAGAAATTTTTTTTTTTTTTTTGTTTAGATGGAAGTTAAAATGGATATGCCTATTGATCAATTATTTTGGCTTTTGAAAATCAAACTTATCTAAAGCAATAAAATTCGAAATCAAATTACAGCAAAAATATTATTTTATTTTTTAGTATAAAATAAGTTATGATTTGAGATAATAAAAAATATTTTTAATTATTAATATTTGAATTTGAGACCTATATGAATTAATTAAGTTAAATTCGTATTAAAATTATAAAAATTTGTTCAATTTTTTTACAATCAAAATTTTTTACAATTATTTTTTTCATTATCTTTTAATATATACAAATATTAGAATCAATTATTTTAAAAAGGAAGTAATTTGACCAAAAATGGAGTTTAGTTAACCAATCAAAGGCAGCCACCTCCGCAAAATAGCCACGTGGATCTGTTAGCGTGCAGTACTTACTTTCCGTTTGCGTACTATTATTCGAGTAACCGAACAGCTCGAAAGAATAGCAAACAAAACAAAAGCCCTAATCTCTACAATTCTTCCGATTCCTCTCTTCCTTCTGTGCAAAACGCTCTTTTTTTTTCTTTTTTTTTTACTTCATAATCTCTCCCGCCATTTCTTCAAACCATAAGAAACATCTCAACCGTTGATTTCTGCCGGCGCACCACGCTGTTTTGCACCTTATATTCACTGTAATTTCCTCTGTTTTTCTTCTTTGGATTGACTTTGGGATTTTCTGAAATAAAGAATCCAAAATTTTTTTCTATTCACTTTTAGAAACACAAGCGGGTAATTATGATGAAGTTTTTATTTTTGTTGGTGAATTTTGAATGTAATTGAGTAATTTTTAATATTTAGATATGTTTTTCTTCTAATTTCTGGTTTGTAGATTCTTGCTAAGAACTTTGAGTAATTTGCTTTACAATTTACTCATTTTTATTGGTTTTTAAACTTGCTTTGAAAGAAGTTCAATGTATGTTAAATTGGATATGTAGATAAAATGACATATGTATCATTTTTGCATATATATGTATGTATTTGTGTATGTTTGTATTGTATGCACGTGTGTATGTGTGTGTATGTATGTATGTATGTATGTATGTATGTATGTATGTATGTTTGTTTGTTTGTTTGTCTCTGTGTGTGTGTGTGTGTGTATGTGCACATGTGTGTGTTCCATTGTCATGTAATCACATTTCTACATATATATGTATGTATGTGTGTATGTTTGTGTTGTATGTATGTGTGTGTGTATGTATGTATGTATGTATGTATGTACGTATGTATGTATGTATGTACGCATGCATGTATGTATGTATTTTTGTGTGTGTGTGTGTGTGTGTGTGTGTGTGTGTGTGTGTATGTGCATGTGTGTGTGTTCCATTGTCGTGCAATCACATTTCTTCAAGATGGTATGTCAACTGTCAAGTTCAACCTACTTGTTGGGTGCTTTTTATAGAAATTAGAATCTGTTGAATTCAATTTTGAACTTTTGTAATTTATGTTAAATTAATCCTGAGCTGGTTTTATAACATTAATCATGAGCTGGTTTTAGTGAAATTCTTGTTTTTTTTAATGCTATGTGCATCCATTTGCTGCTGCATGTTCTTCTCACTCTTTTTTATTCCCCTCATCAGCTGAAGGTCAATGGATAGGAGTGACCCTGACATATTAACTCATGGACAGAATTTGGGAATTCATAATGAGCTTCAAGAATCAAATCAGGTGGATATTGATGTGGATCAAGAGTATAAAAGCTTGGAACCTTCTGCTGCGGAAAAGAGTCAGGAAGCTGCTGAAAGTGAGAGTTGTAGTCAGAGCCCAAATGCTTCTTCTGTTGAGAAGAGCGATGTGGAAATTAATGGGGCCGAATGCCTGGCTCCACAAGTTCCCTTAGTCAACAAGTGTGAGATGGATGTTGATGGTGAGCAGGAGTCTCAGAGTCCAAATCCTCTATCTATTGATGCTTTAGGATCCAGAGTTTCTTTTAAAGATGAAGAAGATATATTTGTGGTTCCAGCAGTTGGAGTGGAGTTTGAATCAGAAGAGCATGCATATAAGTATTATGGTAGATATGCTGTGTTGGAAGGCTTTAGTATTAGGAAAGATTTTGTCAATAAAAGTCGAGTAAATGGTGCAGTTGTATCCAGAAGGTACACTTGTTATAGACAAGGTTATAGGCCTAGCAAGCATAATTCGAATGTGAGAAAGCCCCGGCAAGAGACAAGAACTGGTTGCTTGGCTCATATGACTATTGCAAGGCAGCCAAATGGAAAGTTTCGTGTCACTAATTTTGAAACAAGACACAACCACGAGTTTGTAAACCCATCAACAGCTCATCTGTTACCGTCACAGAAGAGGTTAACCTTTGCTGAAGCGGTTGAAGCTGACTTAGCTAGTAGTTCTGGGAGGGATGGGGTACCAAAGCTTGGAATGGCATTTGAATCAGAAGATCATGCTTATGAATTTTACAATACATATGCAGGGCGTGTTGGCTTCAGTGTTCGAAAAGATTATGTGAATAGGAGCAAGATAGATGGTGCTGTGGCATCAAGGCGGTTTACTTGCTTTAGAGAAGGATTTCGGCAAAAAGATAAGAGGGATTTGAATATAAAGAGACCTCGAAAGGAGACAAGAATCGGATGCTTGGCACAACTAGTCATTTGTCGTCAATCTGATGGTAAATACCGTGTCACTCATTTTGAAGAAAAACACAATCATGAGCTTGTTGCACCATGTCGGGTTCGAATGTTACGATCACAGAAGCACTTGGCTGCACCCCAAGTTGCTGAAGGCAATGCATTGGAGGGCTACAAGATTCAAGAAGAATCAGCATGTGAAGTATCATGTAACTCAATTGGAGATTGTGTCGACCATGGATATGATCCAATAGATCTCAGAAGTAAATTATCTTCCAAACGTTCCAGAGAAATGAGAGAAGGAGAAGCAGAAAGGATACAGCAACATTTTCAAAGTAAGAAAATGAAAAATCCGTCTTTCTTCTATGCCATGCAACTTGATGCTGAAAATCAAATAGCTAATATATTTTGGGCTGATGCAAAGATGGTCATGGACTATAGTGACTTTGGTGATGTACTTTGCTTTGATACAACCTACAGGCTACACAAAGACTGTCGTCTGTTTTCACCATTCGTTGGGGTGAACCATCATAAGCAAATGGTGATCTTTGGTGCAGCACTTTTATATGACGAAACTGTTGATTCTTTCAAGTGGCTATTCCAAAAGTTTTTGGAGGCAATGTCTGGTAAGAAACCAAAGACAATCCTCACAGATCAAGATGCTATAGTGTCTGAAGCAATTAATTCTGTATTTCCAGACATAAATCAACGAATGTGTGTTTGGCATGTGTACCAAAGTGCACTCAAGCAGCTGAGTCACTTGTTTGTAGGTTCACTGTCTTTTGTGAATGATTTAAGCAGTTGCTTTTTTGATCATGAGGAAGAAGAAGACTTCATTGCTGCATGGAACCTTATGCTGGATGTACACGGTCTTTGGGATAATGAGTGGTTGAACAAGATTTTTGAAAGCCGAGAGCAATGGGCCATAGCATACAAAAGGCATATCTTTTCTGCTGACTTAAAATCTGCGCAACTGCGTGAAAGTTTTATAGTTACTCTAAAGAAATACTTAAAGCCCGAGTCTGATGTGCTTTCATTTTTCAAGCATCTTGGTAAAGGGGTGAATGATTGGCACTACAAAGAGTTAGAAGCTAATTATGATATGAGACAAAATATGCCAAAACTAATGGGTGATGTGATTCTTTTGAAGCATGCAAGGGATGCCTACACACCAAGAATATTTGAATTGTTTCAGCAAGAATACGAAACATGTCTGAATATTGTTGTTAATCAATGCGTTGAGAGTGAAAAGCTGTTTGAGTATAAAGTGAGCATATATGGCCAACCAAGAGAGTATTCAGTAAGTTATAACTTGTCTGACAACACAGTTTTTTGCAGTTGTAAGAAATTTGAGTTTATGGGAGTATTGTGTAGTCATGCATTAAAAGTGCTAGATTACAGGAATATCAGGTTGCTTCCGAGCCATTACATCTTAAAGAGGTGGACAAGAGATGCAAGAGCTTAGAGGTCGGATGCCATCTTTTGGTTGTTCTACATGATAGGACTAGGTGGGGCTTAGAAAGGTTTCATTTCTCCTTGGCTGCTCTATGTGATGAGCAATTACACTGTAAAGAAACAGCAGTCTGTTGTTGGATTTTATCTTCATGTTTCTAAAATCCTTCTTGATACCTCCATTGATTTGTATTATCCAACAAATAAAAATATGAAATTGTTATTGGATTTAACCCTTTTTCTTTCCTTTTTTATATCATGCCATATTTGATCATTTAGCTGGTGTCTGCCCAAAAGGGCTCAGCTTTACAAAGAATTATTATGGTGAACAATCTAACACAGCTGGAAGAATGATTATAAGAAAGCCAAGATCATAGAGAAAATTTCTTCCTCAGCTTTTCCTTCTTCCTAAGGAAACAAGGCAGAGTTCGAAATTAGCACATCTTGAAAACAATAGCCATACATTTCTCTTTGTTTTGATTGATGTTCCCTTTTAATATGCAAAAGCTTCTAAGTAGTATTTTACAATTCCCAAACCAAACTCTGACCAAAATAACATGTCAAAGTAGTTCTCTCGGGAGGAGCTTCAGAACCAAGTATATGTAAAAAAGAACTACAATGTCAACCAATGATCCCAGTTGCCAGTTAGAAAACCACTGAAACATTGTATTTTCCTATTGCGACAAGAAATTTCTTCAGATCTCCAAGTCATTGACATTCACTTCACCATGTTCATCTCTCAATTCTGTATTATGATCAGGCTTGCTCCAACCTATTTAAAATTTAGTATTTTTCTTCTCTACCAGCAGCTTGTGATGTTACAAAGATACCTCAGACTTGCGGGTTTGCCGATCGCCGATGTTCATTTTTAAGAACCCTGTATAAGATCTTCTCCTGTTTTTATTACTTTTACCTTTCGATGATCCCTTGCCTTTATAACCTGAAAACACCACTAACATGACTAACATAAAACCCAAGCCAGAAAACACCCATAAAAGAATGATCCAGAACCTTAAAGTACTAAAGAGCCTATCTGCAACTTTAGGTAGAGATGATTCCTGAGAATGATTTCTGGGCACTGGATTGCTTCTCATATCATCATTCCCAGCAAACCTACCAAATTTCCTTGAACTTGTGACATCCTTTATTGTATCCAACTTTGGATCGGATAAGGTAGTAGGGTCAGGGCAGTTCCTCCTCTTGTGATGCAAACGCAATGCTTCATTTAGAGTTTTCACACATTCGATGCTAAGCAGGTCTCGTTGAAGCAAGTTCTCATCTGCTTGTTCAAGTGTTGAAGGATCAGGTGGGTCTGGAAATGTAGCCCAGCATCTGTTGACCAAATCAACCTCTCTCCAGTTTGCCTTATCAAAGCTCCAATTCCCAACTTTAAATTCCAAGCCATAGTGGAAAACTCTGTAGTTCACACCAGGTTCAGGAACATATCCGGGGTATATTAATATCTCACTGCTTATGTGATGTCGTAACTTCAACTGCATGATAAGAGAGAAACATGAGAAATTTTATTTAATCTGTTGCAACAAAATCCTGAAAAAAAAAAAAATCAACTGGACCAGGCATCGTTGAACAACAAATATGAAAATTCTAACTAAGACTATCTGGGGCAGTAAATTAATTGTTCAATACAGGACTTCATTTAGTCAGGACACCATTAACAATAAAATCAAATAGCTATGCAATTCCTCAAAGCATATTATTGTCTTTACTGCATAATCTCATGGCCAGGAATGTACACAGAGTTAACTGAAAATGGCCAAAAAAGGTTGAATGAAAAAGAATACCTCTGCTGCACCAAATGAGTAACCGTACATTTCACTGATCCAACCAGATTGGTATATATCTCCAGTGATGTTTGTTGCATAATGTGCTTTGTCAGCTCGGACCTCCTCAGTTTTAAGCAACCACAGCAGTGCAAATTCCCGGAGATCATCAATATGCATGATAATAACACCTCCAACTTTGTCACAAGCCTCAGGATGGCGAGTATGAAGTTTAGCAAGCTCATTGTCACAGCCAATAAGGTATCTATAATGCACAGCCACAAACTAAGTAAGCAGGTTTATATAAACACTTGGAATACAGAGAAGGGGGAGGGGGATAAGATGCACAGAGAGTACTCTAAAAAGAATTTGAAGAAAGACATTAATCCTTGTTCTCCCTGACTTACTCATAAGGGGTTGAAACCGGTCGGCCACGTGCTGCTTTAAACTCCCATGGTGTAATTGGGCCTCTCAAGATCATGTCAGCATCAAGAATAACTATGTACTCTGCATCAATGTTTACATGGTTGAGCCAATGAACAACAGCAGCTGGTTTATTAATTGCTGGATACCTGACATGGATCACGCAACAACAAGAGATTTATTCTTTTTGTTTTTTAAACCAACAAGAGTTTATTCTCTGCCTTATACTTCATGAAGGTTCGTCATCTAAACATTTTCTTAATATCTTCCTTGACTTAGTGGGTCTAGGATGGTTTATTGTTTGCGAAATTAACTTTGTATTACCTAACTAAAATGCCAATTTCAAAGAACATAACCCAATACCCATTTTAGCATGAGGTTGTTAATATCAAGATGAAACCAGTATACTCGCACTTAGCTGTTTGAGACTCCAACCACTTCACTGGACAGTAGTCAAGTGAACCAATTAAAGGGAATATGTTACAGGAAAAAGGCATTGTGAAATGAGCTATTCCAGTGTACCAACTTAGAAAGCAGGTTGGTCATCAAAATATGGCAAAGATAACATGCAAACCCTAAATTGTTTACACAAGATCTCAAGGTTTAACAGAATATATAATCCTAGAACAAAGCAGAATTATTGAATAAGAACAGTGGCGCAACTAAGAATTCTATTGTCTGGGGCAAAGAAAATTATCATAGATCTATAATTACCAGTCGCCTGTTAGTGGATGGAGGCTCATAGAAGGGACATAATGGGTGGGTGCCAGGTCATGGCCTTTGTATTCCTTTAAGTCTTCATCCGTACAGCTGAGAAGACGTGTGATATTTCCGGACTGGCCACTGAGGTGGAAACTGTGCATGAATCCTACAGTCTGCCAATCAAAATAAGGAGTACATTCCGTAGAAAATAAAGTGTGAATTTTTGGATATTGTCTTATGGCTTCATTGATTTCCTTCCCCTCCTCGGCCACCTCAGTCTGTATCCTATGAGGAGTAAGAAGCTTTGGCTGAGTTAGTTCTGCAAAAGTTTTACTTTTCAAAAAACTTAGATATTTTGACCACTTTGGCTTCGGGCATCCATTTCGGGCATGTTGTAACAAAAGACCCTCATTCATAGTATTAATACACTCTATACTCAAAAATAAGCCACGCCTTTTATTTGGATCAGATTCCATCAATTTCACCTGCATAAGAAAAGGGTATACTAAATTTCCACTATAACAGGAAAGTTTTACACACAATTTGTAATAGGAATAAAACAGTTTATATGGACAAGCAGCATTGATTCATGAATAAAACCAATGCCAAGCCTCAATGTTATTTGGTTGTAAGAGAAAATTGCATTACATGGAAATATATAAGCACCGAAGCAGGCATCTCTTAGTGCAAACAATTTTTCTACCAGAATTAATGATTCATTTCCCCAAGGTTTAGAGGTTAACATACTTCTCTAGGATAAGGAGGTTCAGGAAAGAATCGCCCACACTCATAAACAATACCATCTTCATGATGATCTAATTTACTGAAAGACCAGTTTCCCACGCTAAATGGCAAGCCATAATGCAGAAGAATAGGCTCAACACCCGGTCGTGGAGTATAGCCTGGGTAGATCATCAAGTCATCATTAATCTTGTGCCTAAGTCCAGCCTGATAATAAAAGAACATAACCAAAATAAAAAGATGGATATAAAAATATCCCATAAAGCAGGACTGAAGGAAAAAAAAATTTTTTTTCTATTCTTTTCACGATAGGATAACATGAAGAAAGTAACATACTTCTGCTGCACCAAATGAGTAACCATACATCTCACTAATCCAGCCTTTCCCATAGATGTCACCAGTTATATTGGTCGCCCAGTGAGCTCTGTCTTCACGTACTTCTTCAGTCTTGGAAAGCCACAAAGGAGCCAGAACTCGAAGATCATCTATGTGCATGGCTAAAAGCCCACCAACCTTGTTGCAAAGTTCTGGGTGCTTTGTGTGCAATTTAGCCAGAATATTATCACATCCCACCAAGTACCTGAAGTACCAAACAATTATGAATATCTAAGTGAGAAAATTGAAAATGAACACAGAAAATATGCAAGATGCATCTATATGTAGCAACAAAATGCAAAAAAATAAAATATTCAATGTCTTTCTCAGTATCTGCTTTGTGTCATGATATTACTAAACCAAAAAAAGTTTCCAAAGACTGATCTTGAAGCAGTGTCACAAGTACAATCCTCAGTTTTTGCATACTTTAAAAATAATGAAAGTTTAATACCCATAATAAGCAGCAACAGGCCTGCCTTTCTCTGCCCCAAGTTCCCAAGGTATAATTGGACCTCGGAGGATCATGTCAGCATCCAAAATCACAACCCAGTCGACATTCTGTGCATCTTTACTATGTTTTAGCCAGTGGACAATTCCAGCAGGTTTGTTAATTGCAGGGTACCTGCAGAACAAAAATTGTCTGTTACTCCACCAGGAAGTTCTTCCAGACTCCTATGATCTCAGTTGTATTGAAAGTGCTGTAAAAACTTCTTAGAGCCAAACCATGTGAAAAAAACGAAAACAGGATGGAAGTTATAAATGCACTCCATTACTGTACAATGAAAGAATTTAAACAGAAAGGAAGCCATCAGAAGACTATTCGCTAGAAGGAACGGGAAATAAGCATGAAACATTAGAAGATGTTTATCATTCTCGAACCTTCAAACATATGAAAACGAAATTTACTGAACATTCTTTCATAAGGTAAACAAATTTGTTGTTTTAATTTTAAATAAGAAAATAAACCACAGACAGAAAGAGAAAGCCTCTAACCTTGAAGCATCAAAATGTTCAAAGCATGAGCATTAACTTCTTTTGACAAACCAAAATCAAAATAAAACCTATCTGACTACTTTATTTGAGTTAATAACAACAATTCACAAACTTGATCAGTCCAATAGCAGCACTTCAACCAAAAACAAGAGATTAAAATTCAAGGCAGCATACTTCATTTGTATTATGATAGTTTTTAGATCAAACACATTGATATTAGACAATAAATTGCACCCAACAACAATTAAAAAGACATGCAATCAAAGCCCAAAATTAACCAAAC